CTGTCTGTGTTGTCCCCTCTGAGATTTTCCTCCAGGACAACCAGCTCTCCCACATGACCTGCTGCTGTACCTGCAGCACACTGAATACTACTGTAGCACTGTGTTCGACTCAAGTATGACTGGGTTAACTGCATGAGACCACAACATCATCTTCTGAAGTAGATGTTGTTAAAGCCCATTGTAATGTTTCTGCACAATGTAACCTGCTTATTACTGATCATGTATATTTTTCATCACTGCTGATCATTTATGGATAAACTTTCTCATTATTACACAATATCAATATCTTGTTAAAACTAGAAATTTTCATTGGTGTAACAAGACACTACAATGAATTTTTTTCCCCTGTGGCACTCAGAAACCTGTGTGGTAGTTTGGGATGTAAGATTGTATTGTAGTTTCTGAGGTACTTTACCACAAATTTTATAGTACAATTATGAAAAAAATAAAATAGCATATAACATGAAAGTTAATCATTTATTCACTCCTTTGTTCACTGCGTTAGTGTATGCCTCTGTCACTGTGTTGTGACCACATGCTGGCTGTGCAGACGGTCTCAGCCCGTTCCTGAATAGGGTTCCTTGAAATGGGATCTTATCTGAGTGACTTGTAGTATTTTAAGGTTGCTATAAATGATGGTGTTGACATTGACCTTAACTCTTTCTAAGGTCCAGCAGTTGGCCATTGGATGACTAGACTAAATAACAGATAGCCAATCGTGTGTTTTTGCTTTTTCCTGGAACTTTATAAATGCTGAAATGTGTAAACTGACGAGGGGGCATATCTCTTTGACCTCTGACTCCTGTAAGGTGTTGTCAACAGATTAATCTTATTCTTTAACCCATCAGTGATTTGTTTGTCTGAGTCTTTAATGAAGCAATTTCCATCAGACAATAAACATTCCAAAATACAAACCATAGAAACATATGGTACCAGTACCACAGAGTCAATGGTACATCACCACAAAACCCTTGTACCACATAATACCCCATGACTTGTGGTACTGTCCTGTGGTAAAGATCCTAAAATACTAATGATACACAAGCTAGTCTAATGACAACTATCACAGTAACACAAAAAGTATCACAGAACTCAGAATTTAAACTTCAGCACATCTAAACAATTGACAATAACTGGTTTATTTGGTTTTAAATGTTTTATTTCACCAGTAATGATCTAAAGGTTAATAATGTCAGTTAACATGACATGAAATATTCTAATTACATGGACATTAGGTTCTGACAGTTTTACATTAAACAAACATGTAATTATGGCTTTAATAAACTTATAACCTGGCTAACCTGAACCAAACCGCTAAAATGAACTGTTAGCTACAGCACACTTTAAATTAGTTACATCTAGTTTTTAAACATCAACACATTTAATGATAATTTTTTTATTTGTAATAGTACATGGTTTTGTTAATAATGGTAGCCTATATAATTTTTCAATTTAACAGATAACCTGAACCAAACATTTTGAGCTAAACTTTGCTAAACCAGAATATTCAGTTAGCTTTGAGTTAGCTTCTAAGTCCAGTATTCTGTTGGCATAATGGGAATATCAAGAAATCCTGCTAGAATTCAGTGTTCACATATGTCCCAAGATGCCAGCTTGTAATTACACTAATAACCTAAATTAGCTTGTTTCACATATTTGCATTGGTTTAGATACAAACAAACAGCACATGAATCCTTTAAAATTAGTAAATCAACTATTATTTTGTCAGCAGTTTGCTGACGCAGCATTAACTTCTAGGTTCTGTTTGCTCAGAACAGAGACATCTTTGCTTAGAACAGGGTTTAACATACACACGGAAGCCGCGAAAGGTCATACTCGGAAATATTTTATCCGGACATAATTGAGCTTTATTTTCTCGCGATAACGGAATCTCGGTAACTGAGTTGTGCTTTGGTAGATTCATTGGAGTAAACTCGTAGGTCTTGGTTTGACTCAACTAAACCCAACTATAAAGTTGGATTTGTTGGAGCTGGATTTTTTTCTCTTTTGATGAAATTACTGTATTTTCCCCTGCCTCCAATCTTTGTGCTAAGCTAGGCTAAATGTCCTAGAGACACAGGTGTAACTGATATCCATCCATCTCTGATACCTGCCAATTAGCTGTGAGGCTAATGCTCCTTTAATAAATCGCCTGACCTCGTCCTCTGACGGTTTCAGCACCTTCGTTACCAGCTCGACTGTGAACCACACACTCGATCGGCTCAGTTCACCTGCTCGGGGGCCGTACTCACCTGAGTGTTTACCGGAAAGGGCCGGTGGGAAAAGGTGAGGGCCCTCTGAGGCGTGGGGGGCCTCCGCTCACAGCTGCAGCTCAGCGCTAATTACTCCGAAGACGAAGGATGATAATGAGGATAACAAAGCTACTGTCTAGCTGGAGGACACCTGCTGCACCTAGAGCTGCTACACAGAGACAGTTACAAACCTCAGGGTAAGAAGAAAAACACCTCAAACGTCACACAGGTGTTCATCAGTTACAGGTGTGTCTGTCTGCATGGCCTCAGTTTCGGTTAATATGAAAACTATTACTAACAGTGAAGAGAGAATTTATTTATATTATTTATTTATGATTTCTGTTATTAATTCATTATCATAATTTTGCATTAGTGTTTTTAATGTTTTTGTTTTTGCATCAATGTTTTTATGTTCATTTTATGTCTTTTCATATAATGTACTTGGTGCATGTAATTTCTTTGTTGTAAAACACTACATTTCTTTTGAAATGTGCTATACAAATAAAGTTTATTATTTTTATAACAGTAGGTTATATTTTTAAAAAACGGTTATATTATTATTTTCACTGAACAAGAGTCTGTGTAGAACATAAAATTCAATTTATTTACTTATCTGTTTTTTTGTTTAGTTATTATTTATCATGCTTTGTGGTATTTTTATTGTATGTTTCCTGATAATAAGGGTTAGAGCTAGGTAATAACTGAGTGTAATAAATTACACCACTTTTAGGAAACACAATTTCAAGCTCAAGAAGGTTAATAAGATTTTGCATAATTTTAACAATGCTCTAGGACTTAATGTTTCTAACTATTATTCAGGCAACTTTCAACAGCTGTCCTGAATAGTTTCAGGAAACCTAAATGCCAAGAAAATGAATCTGAAAATCTCTTTACAGGACCTTTCTTCTCCTGACTGAGAAAATATTAAAGGTAAACTGAGCAGAGGTTTGGCCTTTTGCAGCTGTCAGAGCTCTTCTTTGTGTCTTCCGAAGAGTTAAAGTGACAAACTATGTTATAGACAATTTTTTCATAATAAAAGTCACTGTTCAGCTGCCAACTCTAAAACCGGATACTGGGGCCTAATTGAACATGAAGAACCATGTGATGTAAACACAGTACTGACAGCACATGCAGCTGATTAGACAGCATTTTGTTGACACATCTTCTGACTAATTTTCAAAGACAAATATTAGTGTCATTGGAATCAATATAAACAAAGAAAAACACCAAAGTTGACACAGGATTTCTTCCATACTCAGCTGCTGAGGAAGAAGTCCTTTAATGGAAGAGGTAAACTTTGTTTCATTACACCTGGTTGACTTTCTCAGGAGTCAGTCAAGGTCTTCTCTGTAAGCCGAGTCTAAACAGTAAGCGGAAGTCAAGTTTATGCTGCTTGGTGTTTTAATAAAGAGAAACCCTGAACAGAAGCAACAGGCAACAAATTGTTTGTGCTCATGTTAAACCTGCTCTCTCTCCTGTGAACAGTTTTACCTTCAGGCTGTTTTTTTTTTTTTTTTAAAGCAGAGCTGTTGACATGCAGCTCTCTAAGGACATTACATCATAAACTCCAGCCGGGAAACACCACCTCTGTACCTGCTGACAGCCACTGATACTAGTAACCAGCCCTTCAGACTCTTATCAGTCTGTGTGGGACCTGTCTGTAGAGTATGTGGACGGTCTGAAGCTCAGCGCCTTCTACATCATTTAATGGAGTCTGAAAAGACCCATTTAGGAAAAGAGGGCAGAGCCACAACCACCACAGCAGGTGACACCTCTCAGTCAACAAACAGATCTTAAAATTCCTCTCCACACGTTTTAAACTGTAAAGATCCTCTGCTCTGATTAATAGTTTAACAAAGTTTTCACTCATTAAACTGGGTCTGAAGTTCATCTTCCCCACCTCCTGACTGAGAAAGTATCAGAGCATCAAGATGGTTAGAGGAGGAAACATCAGAGAGACTCAGCCACATGTTTGAGCCTCAGTCAGACCCAGACTCAGATGAGGAGTCTGTTGAGACCAGAACCAGAGACTAGCAGACGGATCAGAACGGTTAGCGTAGTTAGCATCTTTTATTTGTTTATGTTGTTTGTTAGCTTGTAACCTGCAGTGGCTGACACAGTGTTAGTGGTTGTGCTAATGCTAACTGTCTCTCTCTGTACTGACAAAATGTCAGGTTTATTTAGCCCCACCCCCCGTCCCCACCAGTTGACAGGATTGGTTCCTTAGGTTTGTGACATATGAAACCCTGGCTGTCTGAATCTGTTTTTATGAGACTGTCTTTGGTTCACTGCAGTTCAAGGTGGAAACCCTCAGTCATGGCATTGATGATTATTTCACTCATCATATGTCTTATATAAAAAACATCATATGGACGTTAACAAGGTCAGGAGTTGAAGGTTTTCCTCTTCACTTCAAATCATTCAGTTTGATCAGAGCGTCTAGAAATCAACATTGATGTGGAAACTCGTGGAAAAAGATTGTTGAACTAAACATCTGCCAAATGAACCTGTGGAGGCTCTGTACTCAGTTTCACAGCTGGTATTCACATCTATATCTATGTATCTAAACTCTCTGTTTTTGGGGCTCAAAAACTACAGTCATGTGGACGGAAGAGGAAACAGGAAAAGCGATGAGGTTTAAAATGAAGACAAAGCCTATGCTACCTGTATGAGGAAAAAAAAAAAGATGACTGCCAAATCACTGCTTTGTGTTTTCTGGTATTCATACACAGAAATCACCTCAAATCATTTTATTTACGGGTCGTTTTTTCCATGTTTGGAACATTTCTCTGTTTTTTTTTTTCTAGAAAATCTCCTCAGTTCGTTGTTATGTGGGCCAGTGCTTTTGGGGGGGTGGGGTGGAGCCGGCTGCTGTGATTGGTCAGCAGGGACACGGCGTGCTGGTGCCCTGCTCCACCATTAGTCCTTTGCTCAGCAGGAACGCTTCCTGTTTGGGTTCCCGCCCGAGGAACTTCCTCAGCATCTCGGAGGCGTCCTCAGAGCCACCGGGCCGCAGGATGAACTTCCTGTAGTCCAGACCCACCTGGAGGACCAATCAGAAGACAGAAACTAAGTCAGTCAACATCTGCTCTGCAATCCAGGAGTCGTATTCATGAAATATCCTCAGGCTAAAAGTAGCTCCTGACTGACTGAATTAACAATGAGGCATCAGGTCAAACTTTAGTTGTGTGACTTTAAATGAATTTTTTTTTTTTTTTTACAGTGACGGTATGAAATTGCAGTTAAATAAAAACTGATGTGATTTATTGGCTCAAAATCGGAATGAAAGTGAGGGACAGTCCTGGTCTACATATGTTCTGGGAGGAGCAGCCGGACCCATAATGTCGGTTAATTAGTAAATGTAATGTGAAATTAGTCTGTTGATTCTGACACCACAGACATCGACAGAGACTGAATGAAAGATTTGATGAGGGATTCGTTGGAATGAACCAACATGGACCCAGCCATCAGAACCCATCACTATGTACTACTGAAGTCATTTTCAGACCCTGCATACAAGCTGTAAAGTCACCAATGTAATGCTTTTTTTCCCACTTGTTTCTCTCAGTTTTATACTTTATATTATTTGTTGTCTGTTTTTATGTTTGTGTCAACGTATCTGTTTTTCTTTACAGTATCTTGTGATTTGAGCACAGGATGAATAGACTGTCCTCAGATCTGACCTTGGGGTTCATGATTCCCTCCTGCTTGAAGCGAGCATAGAACATGTCCATGGAGAACACCTCGCTCCACAGGTAACCGTAGTACTGAGCATCATAACCGCCGGCCAGGTGCCCAAAGGTTGCTGGCATGTTGGTTCCTGCGGGACACCCGGGAGAGGTCAAAGGTCAGAGAGATCAGAGGCGGAAGCAGTGAGGATAAAGTCTGGAGGCTCAGTTATATTATTTTATCACCTGACTATCCAATCTACAATAAAACAGAAGCTGCAGCTCAGAGTAAATCAATGTAAAACTTCCTGAAGAAACAGTTTCAGCAGCAGGATTTACAACATGTCACAGAAATTTAATCTTCTTAATCTAAAGTTTTTAATCTGATTTGTTGTTTTATTTGATGCATGATCACATTCTGTCCATTTTTTTAAACTTATAATCAACACCACTTTAATTTTTGTTGGAATCTAATTATATAAATACTGTATACTTTGGTGAAATGTTTCAGATCAAACTGTCACTAAAACTCGTGACTCGTGTGAGCATCAAAAGTCAGTTGTTGGTTCTGTTGTAGTTCTGGACTGGGCCACTGGGTGGAGCCCTTTCCTGTCTGATGAGATGAGATCAACAGTCTGCAACCTAAACATCAGTCATTTCAGTCATTGATCATTCTCTTTAGTCTCTTTTAAATCCCTCTTAAAGATATATTTTTACAGATGTGCGTTCTCAGGGCTAAGCGTCTCAATCTACTTCAAACTTCTTAAATCTATTATTATATTAAGTCATTCTCCTGTTTATTTTATTGCTTAATTTAATCTAATTTTACTGAACCTCATTGTCACACTTTTCTCCGCCCCCCAATGTTGAAAAACCTTGAACTTTTCAAATGTGTATTTTTTTTTTTTTTTTTTTATCATTCATTTTTATTGTTCGTCCTCAATTTTATCTTGTAAAGCACTTTGTCACTGTGTTTTGAATGATGCTATATAAATATTATTATTATTATCATCATCAGCTGAGGAACAATAGATTCAAACCAAACGTCAGCAGTGAGATCCACTAGCCTTGTTCTTAAACACTTACTTTAGAGCTTCACTGTCAGACCTACACACTTCAGCTTCATCATCAACATTTAAATGAGAGGGTTTGAAATACATACATTTTAAATGGTTCAAATATACAGAAGACACAAACACATACATAACAACCAGTAGGCTAATCTGGTGTCGTTCATGTAACTTCAGGCCCTGAGCGGGCAGACAGGTGAGGGGTGTGTCCTGTACCAGACAGGCCTGACACCATATTTAGTCCAAAAAAGGAAAAGTGCATCTACCCACACTTTACAAAACTCATAAAACATCACTATAAAAACTTGTTAACTGAGAAATCCTCATTCATTCATCCTGTAAATAAACTGGTGATGAAAGTGTTTAAAGTGTCACCTGGTGAAGCAGGGATTCCCAGGACGTCCTGACAGAGGCGTCCGTACTCTTCTGCAGGGTCTAGTCCGTTCCTGGTGTGAAGAGCCTGATCCACTTTAGCAAGAACGATCTGCCTCAGGTTAAACAGACCTGCAGGAGTCACAGTGATCACAGTGAACAATACAGACCAGACACCCTGACACAAGTTCACCTTTTGTAGCATCAGACACACGTGTCACTCCACAATGTTTCACCTGTCTGTCTGTCTGTCTGTGTGATTGTTTGTTTGTTTGTTTGCAGGGTGACACAACAAGTCCTGAACCATTTTTCACAGAACTTAGTGCAGCGATGAAACATGGACCAGGTACATTTTGGGACAGATCCTGATCATTTACTATGAATTTGAATTTTTTTCTATGAAGATTGGTGCATGTTGTTTGACGTTGGCCTTGACAGAGATCTGACCTCTGACTTCCTTCTAGTTACTTTTCTGTAAATCCGCCATGACGTGTCAAAGTCCTCTTGTTACTTCAGTTTACTGTTGCGACATATGTATGACAAACTTCATCACGTCTTCTCCTCATGCACATGACAAGTTTTGAACGTCAGCCCAGATTAAAACCGACATCATATCAGTGGTTCTCAACTTCTTCAGCTTGTGATCAATTAAAAACAAGAACTGTCTCTGGTGATCCATTGTCCACGTTTGACTGTTTTTAATAAGTCAACCAAAAAGTGATTTTTTTTAATATATTAAATGATTTATAAAATCCCAAAGAGATAAACTTAAACAGTAATTCATGAGAATAAAAACAAAGATAAGAGCCGGTCTAAAAACAATTCTCTGTGCACTGTAAAAGTATCTTCCTTTCCTGTCAACATCCTGTTAGTTTGGAGCATTATATGAAATTAAGATTCTGCAAAAAATTCATCTGAGGCACTAAAAACTGGATAGAAATGAACTTCAACTGACAGAAAGAGGAAGTGACTGACTGCTGAACGCCATGATGATCCACCAGGGGTCTGTGATTTAGTATTTTATCACTGCGAACTCCCTCATATCACATCAGACAAGTTTTTAATAGATCCACGGTCAGTACTGCACCAGCTGCGTTTCCTGTGTAGTACTCGTGGTTCTGCAGTAGTAGTAGTAGTAGCAGTGGTAGTAGTAGTAGTAGTACGTGCCGGTGTTGGCGAGGCGGGACTTGATGAGCTTGTCGAGCAGCTCGTCTGGGATGCTGTTGCCAGTCTTGTAGTGTTTGGACATCCTCTGCAGAGGCTCCTTCTCCCAAACCCAGTTCTCCAGCATCTGAGATGGAGCCTCCACAAAGTCCCGCTCCACATGAGTCCCGCTGAACATGGCATAGTCCGCCTGCAAACACACTTATTTCACTCATTGTCTCAAAAACTAATTCCACCCAAATCTCTGTTTTAAAAACTGTTTCTGTCTTTACTCATTGTTCTTTGAACCAAAGCTGCTGCTCTCAGTCATGACTAAAAGCTGGATGACACTACACTGACTTCCAATAAACAAATACTGAAACTACCAGCCCAGATCATATCGTTTGTTTTGATTCTGAAAATGAAATTTGAGATTTATTTTATTCAGCTAATACAGTGATACAGACGTGATGCATCACTACTGAATCATTAGTACATGTTCTGTATCTCCACAGAACCCAAGCTGCTGCTCTGACCTATAGACGTGGTTAAACATTAAGACCCAAACATGGCGTCTACAGAAAAGTGTTTCCTGCTGGAGACCAGACTTTTAAATTCACCTCAGCGCAGAGTTGGTGCATGACGTGGCCGAACTCGTGGAAGTACGTCTCCACCTCGTCGTGCTGCAGGAGAGATGGAGCGTCGGCCGTCGGCTTGCTAAAGTTGGCCACCATGGCCGCCACCGACATCTGCCGTGTGCCGTCGGGCAGCAGGCAGCCAGGCTGGAGGCCAAAGCAGGCGGCGTGACCGTACTTCCCCTCCCTGCACAGGACAGGTAGGAGAGGAGACAATGAGAACACCTGAGGACATTCAGACAGAGCTGACACACTTCACTGCTTAGTGAGTTACAGCTACAAATCTGGCAACTAATGATACAGAAGTGCCTGAAAAGCATCAGCCAAAAATACTTTTTTCTTAAAAAAAGAAAAGTCACGTTGGCCACCTCCAGCAGACGTTCCAAACTCTGTACTTCAGTTGCTACACTGATGGAGACATTGACAGCAGAGTTAAACACACAGTCCGTCACTTCTGCCTCTAGGGGTCTCTCAATCAAAACAATAAGAAAAATTGCTGTCGGGTGATGTCATGAAATAGTATGGGAACGTGGGAGTTGTTGTCTTTACCACCATTACTGTAAGCTCCTCCCAGTTTGACCAGGTGATTATAACAGGTAGAAACACTGATTAAAGCAGTTTGACTTTAAAACCAGAGATCCACAGATGCTCTTCAGTGGACACAGGACTAAAATCCTTCATCTGGCTCAAATACAGAGTTGAGAACCACCAGGTGTAAAAAGTGTATGTGGATTAATAATAGATAAAAGTCAATGTTGAGCTTTTGTCCGTTTTCTGATCCTCACATTCAGCTCAACTCTTCTTGTTTTACTGATACAGTTTGATCTGTAATTGTTTTTAATTGTTGTTGTTGTTCATGTGTGGTGATCATTGTTTATATCTGTGAGCAACAGCCCGATTTTTACATTGGCCTCCCTCCTCCTGGATGCAGGACAGAGTGTGTTCATAAATATACTGCTGACAAAAGAAGCTAATTAACAGGACCGCCGTGTGAGTCCTCACCTGGGGTAGAGGTCCAGGTAGAACTGGCCGACCATCTGTCCACTGCTGCGGTCCTTCACACAGTACAGAGTGACGTCAGGATGCCAGACGGCAGCTCCCTCCACCAGCTTGAAGGACAGACCGAGGAGCTCCTGGTAGATGTCCAGCAGACCCTGAGTCACCACCTCCATGGGGAAGTACTCCTTCAACAGGTTCTGGTCCACAGCATACTGGGTCTCCTCCACCTGGGGGGGGGGTTTAAGATTCAAAACCATCAGTGCCTGATTTAAGCTTTCAATGTCATTTTAATATCACATTGTTTCAGTCACTGGCAAGAATAATGACAAACGTGCTATTCAGATATGACAGTGGTGGTAAACTTTCATTACTCAAAGAAGTAGAGCTGCACAATTAATCGAAATATAATCAAGATCTCAATATGATCAAGTGTAATATCCAAATCACAGGAGTTGCAATTTTTTGATAAAAGTAAAATATGTCACATTGTTGTGCATTGTTAGCACTATAAGTGTTGTGGTGCTACAGAGACGCCCGGACTACAAATTGTTTGGTACAAGACAAAAGAAGAAAAATCACAATATTAAAAAAAGAATTCAAAAATGACAATATCATCATTTTTATATTTTTTTCAGTGAAAATGAAATCGTGACTCAATATGATTTTTCATATGATTGCAATATGATTTTTTTTGCATATCGTGCAGCCCTAGACTAAAGTCAAATATATTTAAGTGTTGTTGTATCTATTAATAAGAGCTACATATTAATCCAGTTACAGTAATAGTGACAAAATGTTATGAGCCTGTTACAACAGAATAAAATCAGAGAAAATTAAATTATGTTCAACAATGTTTGATATCTGACTGAGGACCTTCAACACTGACAGCTCTTGTTAATTATATAAGCTATAATTAAAATTGAGGTATTTGTGATTTAAATCCAGATTCCAGTGTAAATATGATTCATCATTCAGACCTGTGACCAGTAAACCATCCAACAGTTTCACTTTGACGCTTTGTTTCATTTGATGTTTGTTTCTAGTAATTTGCAAACCTAGAGAAATACATAACTTTATTATGATAACGCTCAGTGTCATGTGGTCTACTGTCAATGACATCATATCCTCTATGAGCATGGGCCTGGATTGTAGTTGCCTGGCAGGAGCTCAAAAAGGACTTTTATCTAGTTTTACGCTACATACACTTTTCACACCTGATGAAGGATTTTAGTTATCGGACGTCTGGATCTGAAGTTATCAGAGAAAAAAAGCAGGAAAACGTTAGATAGCTCAGCTCCCAGCAGCTGGAGAAGTGGGGGTGGGGGTGGAATGCGGGCCACGGGTCGGACTGGTAGGACTAAGCCTCTGTGGTATACGCTCCAACAGGTGAGCAGCTCAGCCGGGGCGCCACGAAATAGTGATTTTTAAAGGTAAACTGCTTTCTGTGTGTTTCTGCCGGTTTTGATCCCCTGATCTGTTTGTTATGGAGAGGAGGACACCTCTGTGGATAATTCAGCTGCTGGTAAAAACCTGCTGAACGTCTGCTTCATAAGTTATCAGAGAAACAAAGGTAAGCAGTCTCAGTTTCAAGCTACTCCAAGACGTCCCGTGTCCGCTGAAGGGGATGACATGTGGGCTACGGGTCGGACTCGGACCTGGGCAGGTAGGGCTAAGCATTTGTGGTAAATGCTCAACCAGGTGAGCCGCGGCAGCACCCACAATCACTGATTTTTAAAGAGAAACATCTGGTTCATAAGTTATCAGAGAAACAATCAGAACAAAGGTCAGCATCAATCTCAGCTCCAACTCTTCCCTAAGTGTCTGTCCTCCGTACAGCGTCGCTCCAACACCGACTTTAAATGTCAAACTGCTTTATTCAGTGTTTTTTGAATCACCAGGTCTGTTTGATTTCCTGAACCACTGACACTGAAGGAATCCAAACCGGGAGGAGCTTACGGTAATGGTGGTCAAGACAACAACTCCCATGATCCCTCGCTATTTCATGACGTCATCCACCGCCGTCTTTTCTTGTATTCTTCTTTTATTGTTTTGATTGAGAGAGCAGAAGTAACACACTGTGCGTTTAAACTCAAGTTGTTGTTGATGAATTTAGAATATTACGCTCAGGATGGAAAAACAGCAGCTGTGTTTGTGTTTACGGATTCAATTTGAATTAAACTGTGAATTTGTCTTGTTGGATATTCATTTTTTAGTTTGTACTTATGTAAATTTGTTTTATTTTGTAATTCTACATTGGAAGTGCTTTGTCTCTGATGTCACTCCTGTGTCCTGCAGGGTCTGGCTGTGGTTCGTCTTCTGGAGGAGGGATTCTTTTTTTATGTCTCTGATCTTTGTAAACATGTCTGTGGTAACAGGTGACCCAGGTGTGCAGCCCTCACCTGGGTCATGAAGTAGCGGGTGTCCCAGGCGTGCAGCTCTCCGTTGAAAGGCAGGCCTCTTTTCTGACACTCCTTCTCCTTCAGCTTGAGGATGACCGCTCGCTCTTCAACACCCAGAGGCTTCAGCTTACAGGCCAGCTCCTCTGAAACACGACAGAGAACGAGAGGAAAGAGTCAGGAGAGGAGAACAGCTGCGTTCATGCACGGTGAAGTCCCAACACTGAAGTGAATGACTTCACGGTATCTGATCACCTGCAGAGGTAAACTCTCTTTGTTTGACCTCTCGACGCCTCGCAGCAGAAATAAAACACTAAATGCTTCCAAACCGTTTACAGCAGAAAACATGAAGCCAAGTTTGGTGATAGGACAGAATTTCAATCATCAGTAGCTTCTTGTTTCAACAGTTACTTCACTGTTTGTTTCAAGTCTTATCAGGTGACAGCAACACAGATAAGATGATGATAACTGCCTGGACACAGAGGAGGAGGTCTGGAGCTGTTAATGTTACAGGATGTTTGCTTTTGTGTTTTGGTTCATAACAATAAACACAGGAACCGTACTGCGGGTCAGATAGCTTCAATAAGAAAGGAAGATTTCACAATAAAATATAACTAGAATACAAATATTACAATGTGCAGTTAGAATAGTGGAATGTGCGACAGTTTGTAGTATGAAAATAAGAAGAACATGAACAACAGGACTCACCTAGGAAGCAGGCCACCTTCTTTCCAGATTTGGCCATGTTCATTTCCAGGACGAAGTCGGCGTGTGTGCTGAAGCCGAGCAGAGAACTTTTCTGGGCCCGAAGCTCCACCAGCTCCTTCAGGATGACCGAGTTCTCCTGGAAACACACGGGGCATTAAGACAATGGTTCAGGCCTTTAAAGGATCATTACAGGATGCTGCTGCTCTTTTTAACAACCTCACCATGTTCCCAGGTCTCAACAGTGTTATTATTACTGATAGAAATGAGACTCAAGCTGTAATAAACCAGAATAATCCTGAAACTAAAACAGAATTTAACACGGTCACATCCTTCAGGACGTCTCTGCTAACAGCTGCATTACAGACAACAATTATTTTCATACAGTCAGAGTCAGGGACAGGGTCAGAGAGTCAGAGACAGAGTCAGGGACAGAGTCAGAGTCAGAGACAGGGTCAGAGAGTCAGAGACAGAGTCAGAGAGAGTCAGAGTCAGAGACAGGGTCAGAGAGTCAGAGAGAGAGTCAGAGACAGAGTCAGAGTCAGAGACAGGGTCAGAGAGTCAGAGACAGAGTCAGAGAGAGTCAGAGTCAGAGACAGAGTCAGAGACAGAGTCAGAGTCAGAGTCAGGGACAGAGTCAGGGACAGAGACAGAGACAGAGTCAGGGACAGAGACAGAGAGTCAGGGACAGAGTCAGAGACAGAGTCAGAGACAGGGTCAGAGAGTCAGGGACAGAGTAAGAGACAAAAACAGAGATGGGGACAAAGACAAAGTCAGAGACAAAGACAGAGATGGGGACAGAGTCAGGGACAGAGTCAGAGACAAAGACAGAGACAGAGTGTTCCTGTCTCACCCCTTTACAGCGGGAGTTGAAGGCCTCCTCCAGCTTCCTGCGGGTTTCTGGGACGAAGCATTTTTTCATGGTGGGGAAGTAATGAGGATACTTAAGAGTGACCTTCAGCTTCTCTCCGTCTTTCTCTAGAGAGCTCAGGAAGTCCTCGGGAAGGCCACCTGAAACAGACAGGTCTTAATAGACAAAGAGGAAGACCAGGTGGGACTGACTGAAAGGTCCAGGGGGCAGCAGACTCACCCAGCTCGTCTCGGCTGAAGGAGAGACTGGTGGTGTCCTCGTTCAGGTTCTTGTTGAAATCGATGCAAAGGTTGCTCAGCTTCTTCTTGATAGTTTTGATCTCCTGTTACAGAAGAGTGAAAAAGGAGGAGGAGGAGAGACCACAGAGAGTTTGAAACCAGACCTGAGATCAGATCTGAAAACAACGATACGCTGCGAGACAAGAGAGATAAGTCAGTCAGAGATTTTGATGTTACGTTTGCGCTACTCTCTTAATATACCTGGTTTAATGAGACCTTTATGGGAAATGTTGCTGATCAATGAACAGAATTGATTCATGGGAATATTGGGTTTGTAGGTTATTGCAGATTTTTGTATCAATGTTAAATAAACAGGGATAAGAGGATTTGACCCATGTTCCTCAGCAACCGATAGGCAGCATAACCATTACCACGGATAACAGTTTCTCTTAATGATGTGAAATAACGAATATAAATTATAAATTGATCACAGACGTCCTGTGTTGTAAAGCTTCACACTCGTGAGGAGAATCATCTGTTACATGTTGCTGCTGAGCTAATCCACAGCATCAGTACTGGACTGGTTTAACTGCAGAACGTCTGATTCGTTTCTGTTACTTGATTTGTTTGTTTTGGGTGAGTTAGCAGTCAGAAATGTCTCAGCTAGAGCTGAACAGAGCTGCAACTGAGTAAAACAAATAAAAAAGAAAATCAGTTAACATTTCAGTTAATGACAGAGCTGCTTCAGCCTTCATTGTGAAGAGAGCTGTGCTTTTCAGCCACAGTCTTCATGTAAACCTCTGACATGAAACTGCTGTTTTATCAAATTTGAAGATTTTTTTCATTCTGGAGTTGAAAAGAGGTTTTTTAAATCCACAATAAGACTCCGCACAGACATTATAGAAAATACTATAGGAAGCTATTCACAAAATATTATTGAAATCTTTATGAGTATGCGAGTATACATTACTTATACTTCCAGATGGTCGGTCAATATTAAAGGACAGACTAGAGTCACCTCCTGGTGGTTGTCTGCCTCCTCCACTCAGACTAGTTTCAGGTTATATCCCTGTTTATCCAGAGTCAGAGAAAATATGAACCATCTGTGTGAAATTTTTTCCATAATTGCTGTGAAGTCTTGAGTAATGGCTAAAAAGTGAGAGCACCATGACCTTGACCTTTGACATTTAAGCACCAAAATCTAATCAGATTTAGTATACTATAGAATTCACTACAGAATTTGAAGGTGATGAAGCTCGACCAATGATTCTCTTTGCTAAAGGGAACACTGGCTTTCCTTTTTAAATGTGTCCTGCGTGAAGAAGCAGTGGTCACCTCTTGTGTCTCTTTGGGCAGGTGGAGGCCATTCCTCTTCCCCAGTTTGATCAGTCGCTCCATATAACGCTTGGACTCTGCTGTCAGGCTTTCAGGATCGATCTTCTTCTGCACAGAGAGACAAAAACACTCAGTGAGAATGAGGAACATCCGACAGAGTGGATGCAAATCCTAAACTAAAACTGAAATGAGAAGTACTGCAACTTAAATGGGTTTTTACCTCAAAGAGACAAAACTGGTTTAAAAATATTCTTTGGAACTTGTAAAAGCAGTACCTGATTTCTTCCTTCTTCTTTTTATTAGTGACTTTGCATAACAAAAACTAGTGTGACACGAAGAGAACATATAATGGACAGATATATATGCGCCAACAAAAATATGTAATAATAATTTATATGATATCCTGTCGATAAAAATAAATAAATAAATAAATCTCACGACAAAAAATATGTTCATATGGTATTATAAAATATATGTAAATAGAATAAGAGATAGTGCAGCAGTAGCTGATTTTCTACTACCGTACTGTTTCTGATAGTGTTAGTTCACCAGTATAGAGCTGAAATGTCAGCAGGTCTGGTATAAAGGTATAAAGGCCATATGTTCTTCTGTCGCATCAGGTTCAGGTAGAACATGAGTCTGGAGCTGAGCAGAAGTGTCCCATGTGAGAAGGGGGAAAAAAGCAGGAGACTAGGATGGCCGACAGACCTATCAATCAATCATCTACCTATCGATCTGTCTGCTGATTGGTCAACAGTGCTGTGAGGTCAGCTCACCTCCAGGGCGACGATCCTCTGGTAGACGTCCTCCCTCATGCTCATCTCCACGTCGAACTCCGACAGGCGTTTGTCGGCCTCGGTGCTCGCCGCTCGGACCTCCTTACTCGGAGACACGTGTTGCGGGAAGTCCAGCATGTTCCTCTGGACTGAGACACAGGGGCGGGGTTATGCATGACAGTTAGACGTGAGAGGGGCGGGGTCAGTTAGAAGAGATGGAACATAACATCACTCTGAATTTGATGGATTTATTCAACTGAACTGTCTAAATCCAACAAGATCTAAGGTGACTGGAACTGCAACCATCATTATTATATTTTTATTAGTGATTAATCTGCCGCTGTTTTTGTCAATAATGATGCCACACCTTGTTTTTCTGGCAGCAAGTAACTAATTAAAACCAAACTTATCACAAACATGAACACTTGAACATAAATCAACATGATAAAAACGACCTGAAATAACCATCTTTGGGAAAAACGTATTTAACGTGTGCCACTACAGCCAGCCACCAGAGGTGACTGAAACTTTTGGGCTTTAGTTTTAGAGAGGGATGTTGTCCATCTTTACACACAGGCATTGGTCAAAATTTAAAGAATTTTCAAAATGTTCACTTATTTACCATCTCAGTTTCAATTTAGCATCTCGTTATTTCAATTTATATTCTCTTAAATTTGATGCAGCATTTCATACATTCAATTTAGCACCTTGTGATTTCATTTTACTGTCTCATAATTATGCCTCAGTATCTTCTATTTTGATATTTTGTTTAAGCAGCTTAATTTTATTTTCTGTGATTTCTTGAAATTCAGTCACAATTTGGATTCAGTCTCATAATTTCTCAGTAACTTCTGATTTAGAATTTTGAATATTTGTCTAAGCCTCTCATTGCAAAATTGTGCAATTTCCACTTTATTATTTTCAATTTCTCATATAGTACTTTGAGCTTAGCTCAGAATTTATCCTAGGACACTTTTCATATAGACCAGGTCTATTTCATTTTAAAACATAAGACATGATGGTGGTTATCCCTCGTACATTTGAAGCCCCTCCGCACTAGATTGATGATAAATAACCAACCGCCAGCAGATGTTAGGGACATGTCATCAGGTGTAGACTGTACTCTGAAGTATCTCATAATTTAGACTTTTATCATGTCTTTAATTTCACTGATTTTCTCTTTCTCCCACAGTGATAACCAGCACTGTGCTTATTTTCCTTCTTGCAGGCTCTCAGTCATCACTAAAAGTTTTTACAGCGATGAGAGTTTGTGTGATCTGATGATAAAATCAGAGCTGCGGTAAAAATATTTCTATGTTGGAGGTGTTTTCAGGTTTTCAGCTGCCTCCAAACAAAGCCTCCGAGTCTATTGTAAAAACTGCAGCTGGTTCAGCTGCTTTCTCTACAAACTGCTGACGTGTCTTTACCTTCACATACTGACTGTGCTGACTCAGAGCGTCACTGCAGAGCTCACAATGGACCAATGACCTGCCCGCGCTGTCAGGTTCATGCTGTTTTCCCTCTTTACGTTCAGGTTCATTGTCTGTCAACTGTACAGAAGTATCTGGAGGGTCAATTAACCTGTGACATTGTTTTAGCTACTATAAGAAACTTTTACACCGACACCTTAGTTTGTCACATTTAAGTCATTTGATTTTTGTCCGTTTTTGTCTTGGAAAACTAAAAAAGTTCTACTTATTGTACATTTTGTAAATATATTTTTGAATTTTTTGGTGTTATTTTAAACTCGCCCTTGCTGATGCCTGTGAGTGCTGCCTTTCTGATTTAAGTTACATTATCACAGCTTCCATGTTTGCCCTGTTTGTCTATCAAATCTCAAATATCAGAGAGTCCTTGAACACACCGTCAAGAACAGTTTTAAAAACAGTTCCTGGGATCACCAAGCAGGATTAGCGTGTTAACCAGATCATTTTGGGGTTAAACCTCAGAGTCCATGATAACTAATGCAGCAGGTGTTGTTCAGGATTACAGATCAAAGCTGTGAAAAAAGATGAGTTACTAACCCCACAGGAGCCCAGTACAGATTTAACACTCCATTCTCCTAAGGCGGTAATCTCATCAAAGTGCAGCTGGACAATACAAAACTTAAACTAACTTCAGCTCTGTCAGGGTTTCTACAGGTTCACCATGTAAAAATTATGTTTCTTTTTAACTTTTATCTTTAATTTTTTTTTTCACAATCATACCAGCTAAAATATGAAAGTCTGATGGAAAACCAGAATTACTTTTTCAAAAAGGATTGAACAATCCACTGTCAACAATCACACTTTAAGTTTAGAAGTGTGTGATGTCTCCTGACGGCTGAAATCACAAACAGAAAACATTTTACATCACAGTCTAAAAGAGAGAGACAAGCTTTAACATTTGTAAATGAGATTTCTGACCCTTTAATGCCTACTAAATATGTTTTTGGAGAAACTAAATTCAGTTCTTTTTAAGACTTAAAGACCTGCGGACAGGCCGTCAACGAAGACTCTGTTGGCTGAGCTCACAAGCAGATCACAAACAAACTGCGGATACATTTGTGAGTCCGACAGAGATCATAATTGCAGTGAAGTGATGTGTAAAGCTCTGCTTCTTTTCTTTGTGTAAAGAAATAATAAACTGATCATATTTACATTTTAAACTGTTGGTTTAACAGAATGTTTGAAGTTGAGAACTTGTGCTTTCAGAAAAAGTGATGATCTTTTCTCTTCTAGAAAATCTTTGAAAAAGAGAAAAATTAATCATTTCTGACTCAGAAAGTTGGAAGAACCTCAACCACAAAATCCAAGATGGCTGCTCTGCACATCAACAGAAGTGAAGGCCCTAGTGATAAACTGTTAATCAGCACTTCTGTCTTATTTGTGTCTTATTTAATCAGTCGTACACACAGAACTGTCCAACTTCTGTCTGTCTTCAGACTTCTGTCTGTGAGTAACATGTACAGGAACATGAACATGAACAGGTAAATAAAAAACAGCATCACGCTTTCAGCTGTGAAAACGACCAGACTTAAAGACACTGGACAACATGGGAACGCTTCAGCATGTAGAAAATCACTGTTGACACTGACCGGTGTACTCGACCTCCACGTCGGCGAGCGCCTTCAGCGTGTTCTCGAAGGTGACGCCGTCGAGGTCCAGCGCTCCAACGCGGTCGTACACCTTTTTGGTGTTGATGATGAGCTCATCCGAGAGCTGCTGGATCTGCTCTGGGTTCAGGTCCCAACGTAGCCGGTTCTCAGAGCAGACTGGCACCAGACTGCCAAACACCACCTCACCTGTGACAAGTAAACAGGACAGGTGAGATATAACAGGACATAGGGAGTGCCGATGGACTTTGACTGTGATAGACGATCATCAGAACGATCGCCAATTGATGCTTGATGACTTGAGACGATATTTGGTTTGTTTTCCCATTAAAATAGTAACTTATTATTGGTGTATTAAATCAATACTAAATTTAATTTGCCTGCCAGAGTTTCACGTATATAACCGATATAACCATGATTGCAACATGCAATCACACACTCTGATCAACTGATTGTAATGAAGCTGCTTGTTGTGTGGGGGACCTGCACTGTGATTAAAGAGCGGAGGAGAACGACAGTCGGACAGAACACATCATTTAGTTCAGTTTCTGATCTTGCTGCTTTTTATGTCTGTAAATAAAACTTTTGGAGTAGTTTTGGGCAGCAAAACGGTATAAACTCGGTTTTTTGGTCACTCCTCTTTCTCTCTTGCTCATAGGGTTACATAACGTAACGCCCCCCCCCCATCCACCCATAGATGTAGTGCTCTGGAACGACACTCCACTACTTTTTATAAAATATATAACGTAATCCGGTTTACATTTCTATACAGTTGAAGCGCTTGAAGCTCTGATCATCACTAAAGCCTATGTCATGGAGAGAGCTAATAAAAACAAATGAAATGGTCAAAGTTGTCATAATAACATTAGTATAGACTGAGTAACCCCTAAGAAAACATTCCACATTAAAAGATGCGGGTAGCTGCTGGTAGCCTCTGAGCTGCTCAGTGTATAGCTGTGTCCCAATTCAGGGGCGGCATCGTTCGCAGGACGCGGCCTACGAAGACAGAAACATCCTTTGATTCATCATTCACTTGTGATGAAACTATATTTTGTGGTCTATGTTTTTTCTTTTACTTTGTGTATTTTTGACCGTTATGCACCACAACAACACAACGGCAAATTACTGTGAAAACCTGTTTCTGATTCTGACGGGAAAGAAGAAGATAAGATGGGACATCATGGGGACAGGAAAGAACAGACAGACATAAAAAGACAAGACAGATCAGCGGTGAAGGAAGAACTCAACCCACAGGTGGGAACCACTGATCTAATGTGCTAACCATAACATAAGCTAACAGCTTATAAATGATTTATAAAGTGTTAACAAGCTAATTAATAAACTAGTTACAAACCTTATAAGCATAGTCTTATTGTAAAGTGGTACCAGCTAATTTGTTTTGTGTATTTCCAGGCTTCAAACATAGCAACAACAGAGGGTGAGGAAGGGAGAGCAGCTACTGAAGTGAGAGCTGTATGAGAAGAGGAAGAGAGCAGCCAACATGGAAAGGAAGCTAAGGCAGAGGGGACAAGTGACACTGACAGCAAACACAGAGAAAGCTGTATATATTGTTCAGTTATTTATACGTCACAAAGTACTTGGCAATTAAAATATAAGCAGTTTAGCACCGTATATGGCATCATACACTATATAATAAATGTATATAATAATACCGCCAAATAGAAGTTTTTGGTGTGGACCTGGTCTGATATTATCTATTATAGACATAAACAAGCAGTGAAATGTCCCTATGCATTTTCACAAGGTTTCACAGAGTGACAGTGAGTTTCAGACAGTGTCTAGGCTTTATCTAAACTGTCTAACACGCTTTCACATCAGTAAGAGGAGCAAAAATCGATCGGTTAAGTTTCCCTGAACTTTCCCATCAACTGCCATATCAGTTGCTAACATCAGCTAACGACAGCGCCGTATCTGGGGATGGAATCGTAGCTTCTCCGTTACAGAATTACACATCGCTCAACAGTTAGTTAGCACAGCGAGCTAACACGCTACAACCGGAGAGAATAACGCCAGAATAGCGGCGAACCGAGTGGCACATTTTACCCACACAGCGGCTTCCTTTCGGTCATCATCCACTGAGCCGTTAACGACGTTATTCTTCAGGTGAATTTGAATTACCTGGCTCAGATAGCTGTAGCCCGGAGCACCGCAGCTAGCTAAGGTTAGCGCTAAGACTAAGGTTAAAGCGAATTAACTGTAAATGACAACAGACACAGACAGACAGAAGACCTGTCGATCACAGACACGATTTCTCTCTAAACTCCGTCAGTTACAGTAAAAACATCAGAGGATTATTCACCTGTCGGCCCCATGGTTCAGATTGCGTGCAGGTTCGTTAATGTGCTTCACTGTCGTAGCTTCAGGGTTAGAGCGGCTTGAAAAGGAAACAAGTATTTCCTGTCAGACATTTCAAAATAAAACACTAACTAAGGATTATATATTACAAAAAAACTAAAACCACCAAACTGAAGATTTACAGTAAGACACATAAAGCACAATTATGTACAATGACAATGACAATTTTGATAAATATTTAATTATTCTATGTTGTTTTCCACTTAATGTTTCTTTTACTCTACTTTTTTTTATCTCAGCGATTTCTAATGTGATTTATGGTATTTGTAAATTATTTACTCCATCTCCAACGCAGAAAAACTAATGTTAAAAACAGTTCAGAGTTTTCCCCATATCAAGAGTGATGTTGTCATATGTGTCACCTACAAGGGAATATATTATTATCACATATGTACATCCTCTGCATATATAAAGATATATGTTTATAACATGAAATACCCATTGTGAAAATTGTATATGTACACATATTTAAAAAATCTATATGATGAATTTTTAATTTGTATAACAGGTTGCAACCGTGTATGATAATAATATAAGTTTAATTAATATATGGAAGGTTAAGAAAACTATATTTAAAAAAAGGTGATTTACAACTACATTTGGAATTATTTGTGAACATCACTTCACAATTTCAAAATCATTTTGACCCTAACTTGAGCTGATACAGGTAAGGCATTTCTTTATGGTTGTGGGGGGCCATAAGGTGTGCTACTGGCCTGAGGTGCGTTCTGGCATCCCCATAAAAACACATAATAACAGTAAAAAAAAATAAACTTTCCATTGCAGGGCAAACCAGGACATTTTAGGCAGCTCTTCATAAGACAGTATTCACTAACATTTCTACTTAAAATGAATTTCACTTACCATTATTAATTATTAAAACAGCTGCTGATTTAAAAGTGGTCTCTTTTTAATAGAAACTGAACAATGTCTCAAAAATCAGAGTGTAAAGATTTATTGATGTTACAATTCTACACATTTGTTCATGCCACAATTTACTTTTTCATTTAAAAAAAAGACTCATTCTTTGTGGTGTCCAGAAGATGGTGCTGTAACTTACACCGGTTGTTCACTAGAACATACAGTCAGGTTTCGGTGAGCCTGAAGACTTTGATAAAAGATAATGTGATTTGTGTGTGCAGAATCAGGCTTATGAATAATACATAATACATAAAAGGAAAATACTCCATGTGATATCTGAGAGTCGATTCAGGTTTACAAGCCACACTCCAGAGAAGTGCAGCACAACTTTTGAGTCTAGGATGGGTGAAACACCACATACCTACAAATGGAAACTTCTCTGGGATAAGCCCAGTTTGACATATCTAAGTGCAGTGGTTTTTGAGCTGGACCTGGCCCAGTGGTGTAGGTCTGGAAAAAATAATATCCCCCAAACTGGACACTATCTGCGAGCCAGACCTTATCTAAACTGATGATGGTCCAGAGCTGAGGTTAGTGATAAGGTCTGGTTCACACTAGTGTCCAGTTCTTCTGAAAGGTGCTGGAACATATTGAAGCAACAAAGGAACAAACACAAACTGTTGGCACAAGGTTAGAAGAACACTGCTGTCTAAATATAATTAAGCAATATGCCACGAGAGGGAGTGATGTTGTACTGAATATCAGCACGGCTGTGATTCAGTCATAGGTATAAGGCTGGAGGACAACCTCACGACCTCGAGCTTTTATACAACAGTTCAACGAGCGCCATATTAGTCAAATAAGCAACAAAAGATTATGATTTGTTTGTTTATCATTCATTTGGCAAGGGCAACACAAATAGTTCCACGACCAGATCAGAGATCAGTCACTGAAGTACTTTTACTGTGCTATTTTAACCATATGAATTACTTTTACTGTTATACTTTAATGATGAACTTTTTTGAAGTACATTTTTCTGATCATAATTTTGCCTTTTAAACTTTAAGATTTTGAATGCAGTACTTATACTTGTAAGAAAGTATTTTTATATTGTGACACTTGTACTTTTGCTACAGTAAAGGAGGTGAGTACTTTCTCAACCACTGACCGTTGCTGTCAGCAGAGACTAGTAAACCACATCCATGGTAAACCATGCTAGTAAAGACATTTACATTACCTACATCATAAGATTCACTTTTGTTTTCCCTTCATCATTGACTGGAGGGAGGTCCTTATATGACGTAACGAAATAGGCAGCTCAAAAAACCTAAAAGCAGTGAACGGATGTAAAAGCGATCAGTCAGGTGTGTAGCTGTCTGAGCCGCTTCTTTGATCTTAATCATCATCAACTGACACATATATTTAACGACGTGTTACACCATAGTGTAGCTACATGTTCATCATTATGAAGATGACCAGAGGAGTTTGTGTGACGAACCTGCTCGCGCTGCTCGGTAAGTTCACACACGCCGCAGGTGCCGTACAGGGGCTCTTTTTCAGCCATTCAGGTGTTTTGAAGTTCCGCCGTCTGTATTGTAGGAGTCAAACAAGATGCTGAATTTAGGTGGTGATACTTAGCCTCCGATTCAGTTAAGGGGAAAGTTAAGGGAAACTTAACTTAGACAGCTGAGCGCCCAATCCTCCGTTTATTGCACCTCTTACTGTTAAAAACGCGTGTTTCATTTAAGGTAAAACTTTAACGCTGTCTGACTTTAACATTTATCCCATTTGTGAAAATGCTCAAAAAAGGGACATTTCACAGTTTTTTTCTGCATCTAGACCACATTAGACCAGGTCCAGATCTAAAACTACACTACACACTACACAGACATGTGGAATCTGGCCTAGATAAAGATAAACTCTTTAAAACATTCTGTCAGATTTGTGAAACCTCTATTCAGATGTGAATAAAGAAAAATATTATTTACACCATTGCAGCACAACATGGCTTTTGTGTTGTCAATGTCATGGCAGAAGTCTAGTTTCTAGTTTACGACCAAAAGTAGAAAGGTTATGTTAACCTTTTGAAATACAGTCAAAACATCTTCCCCAACTTATAAATTGCTTAATTTACTCTTCAAGTCATTCTTTCAAAAAATTACTTTTGTTCCCTCATCTTCCCTCTAACTCGCCTGGTCAATCTCTCTCACTGCTTCTGCCACTGTAATTTTCCTTACGTCTGCCAAAGCCATGGCCTGTGTTAGAACCACAATGCAGCAATTGGTGTACTTGTTCTTCATTTGATCTATATCTATGATGCCATTTTTATGAAAAGGTTTTCTTCAATAATTTATCAAAATGATCAACAGTTGATTGCAAAATCATTTAATTCATCTTGTTTATCTGTTCACTAACATTTGTCATCCTTCCAGACGCTACTTTCTTTCTCCTGCTCATCATTTGTCCTCATTATGTTCCTGCCTGCTCCTGCCAGTCACCTGACCTCGCACCTGCCTGCAGTTGTGCTTCTTTTTCTTCTACTTTTTTTTTCTTTTAAAAACTTTTTTCTGTCTGTCTGCCTTAACCCTTTACCTGTTTAACCTGTTGGTGTCCTGTGTTATGCATGCTGACAAAGTAAACCCTGTTTTTAATGCTCCTGCTTTTTGTGTCTGCTTTTGATTGAAAGCAATATTTCTCAGTTTCCCATCCATGGCCAGCGACAACTATTGGTTACGTTCCTAATACTAGTGCTCTGTTCAAAATGTGCTTGTTATCTCATTAATATTGCTATATTATATTCAGTAATGTAATCATCATCATCATCATCATCATCCTCAACCTGCTTTCCATGTCACTGGTGTGTTATGATAATGATAATAATTATAGACCCTTTTTGTGAAATACCTAATCAGAAAATACTGGACCACAAATTCAGAAGGATTGCAGTGACACGTGTCATGTATTTGAGATATGTTTGGATTTATTTTAATGGACTTTTTTGAGGCTGTAATTTGTGTTGCTGTTGAAATATATTGGGTTATTCTTATAGGTGTTCATATATTTTGTCCAGCCCATTTATATGAATTCACGTCGACAAAATTGCGCAAATAGAGCAAAATATCTGTTCGTGAATAAAAGTTGAAAATGCTTTTGACTTACTTCTAACAGCATCACATTCAGAATGTTTGAAGGAGCCTTTCTGGGATGATCTCGTCCAGATTTGACAAATCTGAGTGTAGTGGTTTTAGATCTGGACCTGGACTCTGTTCTGCAGCTCACTGTGAGATGATAATGACACCTATAAGATCACATTTGATCATGTACCTGCAGTGAATGCAGCACCGTTCATACGGCTTGGTGTACAGTTTTGCAGTGCAAGTTTTTTACTTTACATTAGACTCATCAGATATTGATGGTTATTGTGGCTCTGCGCCCACGTCACCAGGATTTCTGAAAATCTGTTTTAGTCATTCCAAAACTCCAGTGTGTACGTCAGGAGTACACACAGAAAGCGTGAGGAGTTTTGGAAATGATGACACAGACGGCCTTGTTTTCTCCCTGATTGAGTCTTATCAGTTACAATCAGTGTTTTCCATGACCACATCCTACTGTTACGTTCAGTATCACTTCCAACTTGTCGTCAGTCAGAGCAAAGACATCTCTGGTCTTACTTTTCACCTTTGGTTGTAAAGTGACATGACTCAGTGATAACTAGATCGTAGACGGACAAATATATAATTATAAAAGGTGTAGTAACTAAATGAAAACACTGGAAATGTTACTGGGTTCTCACATGAAATACAATGCAGGTAAACTGAGAATTAGTTCTTGGTAAAATAGACGATCTTTTCAGTCAGGATAAGTGAGTGAGTAGATGATGAAGCCATCTGCTCTCCAACACTCACTGTCAGTCATGTTAGACCACATGTAAACCTCACTGACAATCCACAGAGGGCAAGTTCAGTGTTTCCCCTTGAATGTTTTTCAGCAGCGGTGCTGTTAGGATGGTGTTCATGAAGATGCAATGCCGGACTGTATTCATTCAGTCAGAGTCAGATTAAAATTAGAGATTCAAATAAAATGACCTTAGAATCATTATAGGATTATTTGTGTTTGTCTTTTGTGTCTTAAGTTACAGCTTTTGGCATTTATCCATTGCTTCTCTTCTCACCAGCAGTACCGCTCTTTTTTCTGTGTAACCAGCATTTTTATTGAATCCATTCTGTGTAGGCACTTGTAGATCAAAATCAAAAGAAACTTCTCATTAGCTTAAAGGGTGACTAGTTAGCATCCCTAATTAGCCTTACTATCCTCAGCTCCTCCACGGTCACCTGCTGCAGCATTTATTAACTGACACACTGCAGCCCATATTTTATATTTACTGCCATACTTTTCCTCTGCTCCGCTCCATTCACTGTTATAGTTTGTCTGCTGATCTGGCCGCTCGTCAGCTCAGGGAGGTGATTTAGGTAGTTAACAAACACTTAGTGACACTCTTGCTCCATTACAGCCAAACTCAAACATGAGACACATACTTTTAAACTCAATATGGCTCACACTTCCTCTCCAGTGTTGCACAGTCATTTTCTCCTGCGTCTGTGTGTGAGCTCTGTGGTCGTGATGAAATCGGTCAGAACAGAACGGCAAACCCGTCTGGCAGTGTAAAAGGAGTCCATCGCCTAACTGTGGCGTAAAAAAGTTTAAAAAGGCCGTAAAATCACCGGAGCAGCGCTTTCACTGCCTTCTGAATAGATGTAAGATACAGATCATGATAGGAGGGGACAAAGAAGTAAACTTTCTCCCGCAATTCACCACCAAACACTAAACTGTGAAAGTGCACCGATGAACACAGAAACATTCAGCCAGTGATGAATGAGAAGTCCTTTCACTGAACTGTGGACGCACACTGTGTGTGTGTGTGTGTGTGTGTGTGTGTGTGTGTGTGTGTGTGTGTGTGTGTGTGTGTGTGTGAGAGCTTAAGTGACGCAACTCTGATGCAATGCAGTCAGTCATGCACCTCTGGCTACAGCAGCATGTCAGCAAACTGGTGGTGATAAAGTGAAAAAGTGGCGGGAAATCAGACCAAGATCACAGCAGTGGTGAGCGGCTGAGGACTCTTTCCATTCATGTTTATATTACATTATTCATATCAAAGCACTCAGGTTTTACCGTCCCGTCAGAGTCAACTCGACGCTGACAGCATGGTGTGTTTAAAGAGGAGCAGTGGCTTTCTGTTTTCATTTCGACACGCCCTGACATAATCTCTTAGAAACACAAGTCAGTGAAATTGCATCGCTGGGCTGAAGTCAATAAATCTAAACTTTAAAGTGGAGTCAAACGGCAGACCTGTGGTCACTCCAGAAACTTTATTAGAGTCTGCAAGTCTTCAAAACGATGAAAGTGTCTCACAATCCATTTAACAAACACATAAATGACACGTACACACAAAGAACATGCGTATGCCATGAAATGGGAATTTATAAACGAAGAATGTGTCACCTCACTCATTCCTTTGACCATGTGAACACACAGTTTTCCAAAGTGATCCAAGTTACAGTGAAGTGAAAAAACCAAATAAGCCGAGACCTGTAATTTAATAAAATAAAACTAACTTCACAGAGCTTTATTCATCATCATCATTAGTTTACAGAGCAATAACAATTTTACTATTCATGTCCTTGTTATTTATTGTGAGTCATTGTGTCAACTGTTTGATACTATTTGAATATTGACTAATCCCAGTGTTGAAATCTCTGAAGCCTCATTATGACGAATAAATGAAGTTCAGAGTACAACAGGACTTTACATTAGAGTGATTGTACTAAAGTAAATTGATGCACGTTTTATACCCCAGTTTCACAATCAGTGAAATTGTTCTTGTCTCGTCTTTCTTCTCTGTGTCTGATCACTTGTGGTGGAGACAGTGTTTTTTATACAATGTGATTGATTAAGGGAGCGTCTTCATCCATTTATGGTTAATTGTGGGAGTGGAAACGAGGCTTGTGCACATGTTTATGAATACTTCTGGTTTTGTGTGTTGGTCAGGAAATCCTCAAAGAGTTTTATATACGTATGTGGCCCCTGATGGTATAAGTGACTTAAGGGATCAGACTTTTTGTTATCGTCAACAGTGTCTTGTGTGCAGAGCCATGGATGGATTATAAGATGCCTACCAGCTCTGTACAGAGGAACAGGACAACCAGACTGAAAGGGACACAGCATACTGTACTGTAGTCCTCTGGAGGTTCTGTAGTGTTTTGACATGTTTCTTTCTGGAGTTTCTTTGTGGTTGTTGTCTTTGTGGTCTTAGCCCACAGTTCAGTAATCGATCCGTGTGCAGCATCCTTCCTCTCCTCTCTCCTCTGTCTGTGTCTCTCAATCTTTAAAAACACTTCACAAACATAGTTTCATTTTTAAAAAGCCTAGTTTCCTCAAACAGCTGTTCACTGTAGTTTTTTATCAAACAGGAGGAACTTTGGACTATTGTTAGCAGCGGATGAATCCACATTTGGTGATATAGTGATTGTTTGGGGAATTTTAATAGTTTCTGGAAACAGTGATGCTCTTTGATACAGAGGAATCAGATATATCACAGTTTAACAAGTCCTCAACTGTGTCACCAGACTAATTCTCTAATAGACTGAGCTCATTCTCCTTTTAGTCAGTTAAGAAAATGAGTTACCAACACACAGACAGCGGAAGAAGCAAGTGAAAGTCTTTCAGTTTTGATTTTCACACGCCCTCGACAGGGAATGTCCGCCTATGTGTTTGAGGAAAATTCCTTTCACCTGACGTTTAGATTCACAGACACAGATCAGCTGCATCGCACCGCTGCACTTTAACAAGTTAACACATAAACAAATGATAAAATCCTGCAGTAAAGTTAGAAGCAATCATGGCGTCTGCAAACGTCCTCACGTCCTACAGTCACAAAGATAAGGTCTGATAACATGATTTAAATTTGATTTCATCGATTCATCATTGTTTTGTTTTTGTCAGAGGAAAGTGTTGTCATCAGCAGAGGGAAAGGAAAGAGACAAGAAGCTAGTAACTGACTCCTCCAGCCTGAAGCTTTCGTAGTGCTCTGCCTGGAGGTTTACAAAAACACTTAGAGCATCATTTAATTCTCCTTCTTCCCTATTTTCCTTCACTATCCCTACATGTAAGTACCAGTAGAAACCAGTGGGGATTTTATTGGCACCTGATTCATATGAAATTGTGTGAATCAGATAAATCACAGGCTGGATTGTTAAGTTTTACCTGCATTATTGTCTTGTGAGTGAGTGGAAATGCAAAACTATATTGCAGGAGCACTTTAATTTCACCAGACGCTATAGTAAATGACAGATACACTCTGACTGATGTGCCGCTTCACCTCCTTCCGGTTTAAATCATTTCCTCCTTTGCTTCGTGCGTTCATAAAAACTCTACATGCTGGTTTTACTTAATTTTTATGCCTCTGGTGATGACAGTCAGAGCGGCAGCCATATTGTTTTCAACTTGTCCGTCCGTCCGTCCCATTCTAGTGGACACAATATCTCTGTAACGCCTTGAGGGAACTTCTTCAAATTTGGCTAAAACATTCACTAGGACTCAAGGATGAACAGATTAGATTTTGGGGGTCAAAGGTCAAGTTCACAGTGACCTCAGAAAACATGATTTTTGGCCTTGTCAACGCAATATCTTGAGAAGTCCTCAAAGGAATCACTTCACATTTGGCACAAATGTCCACTGCAACTAAAGGACGACCTGATGAGACTTTGGTGGTCAAAGGTCAAAGGTCATTCTAACCACAAGACACTTTTTAGCCATTATTCAAGACTTCACACAACAATTATGACAAAATTTCACACAAATGGTTCATATTTTATATGACTCTAGATAAACAGGGATGTCACCTGAAACTACAAGGAAGTGATTCTGGTTCTACATGCAGAGACATGAGTCTTACTCAAGTGTCTTGACTGCGTTCTTTGTCATTCATTTTCAGTTCTTGTGGCTCAGCTGTTTCAGCTTTCTTCAGCTGCAGCCGAGTCTTCATCGTCTCTAAAGTGCAACGTCACACAACAGTCTGATGCCACCTTCAGGTACCAGCTGACTGAGCCGCCCCTTTCATCCAGGTGTACGACCTGCTGGGAGGACCACAACGTAAGTCCCACACACTCAGCCCCACATGTGTTTGCAGTGAGGATCTTTAATAAGCTCTGATGCCGAGGTCATGATTTGGTGGAGAGGCTTGTGTGTCTCAAAGACCCTGAGATCTGTGCCGGAGGGAGTTTAACTCTTGCCGGAGGCATAAAACAGCTGCATGATGAGTCAGCACCAGTCTTGGCTTGTCAGTCTTGTTTTCTGTGGATTCCACAGTGTGTTCACTTTCCTAAGACAATGCTGTTGAGTTGTTGCTGATGAGCAGCAAATTCAGATGTTGTGATGAAATTTTGTCATAAGGAGAGTCTAGATGTTTTAATCTACTTCCCTGTGTTTGACGGTTTCCACAATATTCTGCATTGACAACTCCACTTATTTCTTTTCTTCTTCTTTCTTCTTCTTTTTTAAATAAACAATGTGATGAAATGTGATGATAAAAATCCGGGGAAAGCCCCACCTGATCACGACGGTCTGTACGTGTACAAACTGACTCGACTGTTGATGGGCGTCTATCTTGTTTTCATTTTCCAGAAAACTGTGATTGCTCGTAACGCTGACCATGTTCCAAACCTGGTCCAGACTCTGACCAACCAGTCCATTGTCCTGAAGTCCTGCCTGGAGCACCTGACCTACATAAGGGACTGTTCTGGGGTAAACAAGAGCTTCATTTTCAGACTAAGTGCCAACATCATACCCTTACAATCTTTCACACAAAAGTCAAATTTCATACTGACCTGATGAAAAAAGCAGAAGGGAGTAGAGGTGGAAATACAAGTAGTTGAACTCCCTTCAAATAAATAAAAAAAACATAGAATTACTGCTTCACAGTTGTTTGTGCCTCTGCCAAAACACTTTTTGTGTTCTTGAGATATCTTGTTCACAAGGCCAAAATTGCTTTTTGTGAGGTCACCATGACCTTGACCTTTGACCACCAAAATCTAATCAGTCTGTCCTCGAGTCCAAATTAATATTTGCACAAAATTTCAAGAAGTTCCCTCAAGGTGTTACTGGGATATTGCGTTCACAAGGCCAAAATCATGTTTTTTTAGGAACCATGACCTTGACATTTGATCCTTGACCATCAAAGTCTAATCAGTTCATCCTTGAGTCCAGGTGAATGTCTGTTTGTCATCGGTCACCACTGTAACAACATCTCATTATAGTAATCACTTATTCCTGCCACTTACACCTGGACATGTCCGGACATGTCCGGACATGTCCACTTCAAAACAAACAAATTTTTTAAATTGACTTTTGTCACTTTTAATTAAATGAAAAAAAAGTAATTTTATCAATTAAAAAGAGAAAAGTCACTGACTATTAAACTGACACCAAACTAAAACACCAGCACTGAGTTTTACATGCAGACCTGAGTTCTGCACTGAAAATCTAATTTTAACACTAACTTCTCCATTGTTCTATTTTTAGGTAAGGGAGACCACACAATGCAAGGGTGAGTGCTGCATGAAAACCTCCAGTTGCAAAACGGAAACTATCTGTTTTCAGTATAAAGGTTATAAAAGTCATTTAGGAGAATTTGCCCAAACCGCGCGAAACAAAGTTACAGATCATTCAGACCCTCTTGAAACTCCCACATTTCCCCCTCATCAGTTTACACTCAATACCCCACAATGACAAAGTGAAGTCTGAATTTTTGAAATTTTTGCATATTTAGTAAAAGGGCCTCTCCCCTGATGACTCAGCGAGTCTGGCTCCAGCATATTCGGGGATTTTAGCATAAAGCTGCAGCATCACAAGATGTGAACAAAGTGAAGGGGTCTGGGGACTTTCTGAATGCACTTTACAAAGACTGAGGAACTCAGTGATGTTATGATACTGAACTTAAAAATCAAACCATTGTGTGTTTCAGCAGAGTAGAACACCATTTAACAAACTACATTTACTCAAGTACTGCACTTAAAGCAGCTGCAATATTTACACCTATATATATAATACTTTTATAATAATAACAATGACACAAAAATACAATTTACAGTAGCCAGGTTTCCATCCAAATGTTGTGCAAAGTTTAACCAAATTCTGAGAAAGTCAGCAAAAGAAAATGCGAATGGATCCGCATTTTCATCCACAGCTGTCATGTGAATGTTAGTAGTTGATAAACAGCATTAAACCATTGCATTAGAGAAGGACACAAGTGAACATTTGCATCTTATTTGTTGCATTTTGCTTTTATTGATTCATTTTTCCATTTGTCTGATCACAAGTTCAACATATCAATCTATCTATATCAATATCATCTGTTTGCTGCCGTGTTATTGTTTAGAATCTCATTACAGAACCTTTAAGTACATTTTACTCCATTACATGTATCTGACAGTGGTTGGAACTATTTTCTTTTTTGCTACAGTTTTGGATTTTACATAAAAAACGTAAAATAAAAAACACACAATAAGCTTTTAAAATACAATGCATTGTTAAAATTAAACTGGTGGTTTTCAGCTTCCTTCACCTGTGACCATTTAGAATAACCACAACTACACATGGTAGTTGTGGTTATTGCCCTTAGTCATGTTTTAGATGTGTGTCAGTGTTTCCATCCACTTGTGTGTATGCAAAATTTCAATTTGGAAACAAGTTGAAACATCATGAAAAGCTCATCGTCTTCTAACTCTGTGGTTTAATGGCAGCGACTGGAGAATCAGCTCCACCAGCTGTTTTGTCTCCATCAACCAGTCTAGTCATATTCACATTACAACAGGAAAGGCGGGAAACAATTGCTTTTTCTTTTGACAGATCAAAGTCTTGAAGTCTGTGCTAAATTTGGAGGGAAACCTGAATCATATGCGCTGTTGTTTTGGCAAACGAAAGCCTCATTTAAAGTAATCTTAATAAAAACTATGACATGATGATGAACAATGACAGTCTCATCATAGGTTTTACTCATCATTAACATGTGTACTTATTTGTTCCTGACATGATGTTTCTGTTTTACAGTGAACTGCAGCCTTTACTTGGAACAGGATCTTCCCCCTTGCATTGGTGAGTTACCACACATTTCAGATTTAATGAAGTGTTCATGCTGCTGTGGTTTCAGATCTTGCTTCCAGAATTTGCAATCACATTGTCATTTGGATGCAGCCAGGTGTAATTGACATCTCTACCGAGTGGCCACATTGTACAACATGATTCTAGTGGTATTTACTGTTACCCAATGTTAGACATGTAAATCTTTAAAGACAAACAGGAAGAAACACATTAAGCATCTGTTGGGGACTATTTTAAGCGGCAGATTAATCCTTGTTGTGGAACTGTAGTGAGCATCTGGGGAAGAAGAACGGTGTGTGGGACTAAGTGTAAATAAACCTGATCTGCAGACTGACCTCTTATCAGTGTTTGCGTACCAGGTCTAAATACAAAGGCCTGTGGTCAGAGACAGTTCACATGTTCAGTATCAATCATGATCAATATCAACCTTTACTGCATGTTATTTTTATGTTTTCCTAATAATATAAAATATGTCTAGGTATATAAAATAATCAAATATTGGGGACATCATGAGTACAACTAAAAGTCCTGCATTCAAAATGTACTTAAAAGTAAAAGTACTCATTATGCAGAGACACTCCTTTGTTATATTATTGATAACAATTTTTTTTATTATTATTATTTTTGGGCATTATTGATATTGTGACTTGTCAATTTTTAGGCACTTTACATGCTACAGGTTAGTTTAAAGTAAAACACTGCATCATTTTTTATCTAATCTTAATCTGATAAGTAATTAGTAACAATAATCACGTCTGTCAAATAAATGTAACAGAGATAAAAACAAATGTAGGACAGAAGTATAAAGTAGCATAAAATGAAAATATGCATTGTTGAATTAGCTCAAAATTTGCACTTTCATAATGTTGACCATGTTCACAATTGTAGTTTAGCGTGTTAGTATCCTAACACTTCATACTTATTAGTAAACACAAAGTACAGCTAAGGCTGATGGGAAATCCCATTAGTTTTGCAGGTGTTTGGTCACAAACCAAAGTATTTTGACCTGATGGTGGCACTAGAGGAAAAGTCAGAATATCAGCAAAGTTACTACTGTTCATCCCGTTGGGAGCATGAATGTCTGAACCACATTTCATCACAATCATCAAACAGCTATTGAGATATTTGAGTCTAAGTCAATGTCAGTGTTTATGACCTGTTTCCTCTTGTCTTTTTCTCCTTTCAGTGAACACCTCCTTGATCTGTCTCTCTAAGACTCAGTGTTTGCACAATCTGATATTTGGACTTGTTATCTGCGTGATCGTAGTTGCTGTTGTCATTGTGGGTCTGGTCATCTGGTTTGTTATCTCCAAATGCTCCAAGCGTAGAAGACTGCCAGTGTCATACACTCCAGCTGCTATGACTCAGATTGGAAAACAAATAAGACATAATATAATTTGATTTGGTAAAACACAACAGTGGCTCAACAAGGATGAAGTCTGGCTGATCCTATGATGAGTGATTTAAACAACAATAGTATTAAAAATAATATTGTAGCACTTTATTATTATTATTTTTATTTTTTTATCATAAAAAATGTTTTAAATTGTTTAATATAATAATAAATAATAATATAATGATATATTCAATAATAATAATATATATAAAGTCCAGTAGCCCAAAGAGAGACAGACCATTTTATACTCCCTGATTTCTGTTTTTACAAATATTCATAAAATATACAAGGGTTTAAAAAGAAAGAACAGGATTTTCTGTATACTGAATTTTTTGTTCTGTTTTTGTTCTGTTTTAAAAAAGATATTTTTAATGTTTCTAAGTGGTGAGCCTCGTCTGTGGAGAGACCAGAACAAATCTTTCAGAGGGTCTCAGACTCATTTGGTGGAAAACAACTGTAGTCAAGACAAGACATAGTGATTACATGTATCACAGTCTCCGTGTCATTGGCAGATCAAGAAAAATTTAATTTTACAAAATCTAAAGTTAGATTTTATTTTATTAAATTATTGCTCCCAACAGAGAAATAACCCCCTTAAAAACACAACTTGTCAGCTTAGCACTTTGTTTTTCCAGCATTTATGCTAAGCTAAGCTAACAGAGAAAAAGGTCAAACTTCTCCTTCAATGGTTTGGAGGAAAAAGGACTGCAAACATGTAAACCCTGACAACACTTCTGGAGTCCGTTAACCTGTTGTTAGAAACATAGAGCTTTGTGTCATCTATATAGAAGTGGAGTCTGATGTCAGATGTCAGTGAGTTTTGAAGTGTAGGGGAAGCAAATTGAGAAATACTCTTCGCGCTTCACTGATTTCCCCTCAGGATTTCCCCTCCTAGTAAAAATTCAGTCATCAGAAAACTGGATGTCTGTGAGTAAACTATACAGCAACAGATCATACGTATCAGTAACTCCAACTTCAAAAAAGTTCTTCAGGAGTTTTGGGGGCATCGAAGGCAACGAGTCACACCAACGTCACCCAACTGTTTACTGAGCGGTTCCAGTTCATGACAGACCAGGCTCGGGTGATTCACAGTAGATGTTCTCCAGACCTTAATATTGCAGTAATTACAGATGTTGCCAGATGCAGTCTAGTTGTCGGGAAGCTCCTCATACAAAAGGCAGTCAGTTCATGTCTGTCTGACTGGAGCTTGACAAGGAAGTCGTTTGACTGTAGCAGCTGGTTTGAGAATACTTGGCTGAGGTTCTCATCCAGACTCAGTGCCCTGACACACCAAGCTGACCTCAAAGACCTGATGTGGACCAAGGATGACTGATCCAACACTTTACAGTAGAACTGAACACATACAGGAAGAGACTATGTCCACACTACGCTGTTAAAACACTGTTAAAACACTGTCACAAAGCTAAACCTCCTCTTCAGATTCTCATTTACATATTCTTCTGCTCCTGTTGTCAAACAACTGAACCCAATGATGAAACTGTGATTTAATCACATCTCATCAACTACATGTTAACCACCAGTCATTCCCAAGCTGCTGCTCAGTGATGATACTAAATCATTATTTTATATCTTATTTTATATCATATTTATTCTCACATCTGATAAAATCAACATACACCCAGGTAAAGAACAACAGTTCTGCTTTGTTGGCATTAAAAAATAAATGATCACACAGAACTAAGAAGTGACTAAAAGTTGTCCTTTTAACTTACTGGCACACTATAGCTTTTGTTAAAGCTCAGTTTTTCGTTTAGTTTTTATCGTATTTGTATCATATCGTATTTCAAACTTATAGGTTTAATAATTTTGAATCAGAACCACCACTATTTGGAGCAAGTAGCTCATGAAAAATAAGATTACTCACTGGAAAATGTTTAAAAATAAACCTAACTGGACTCTATGACAACTTCAAATTGATCGAGACTCATTTCTGGATTCAGACCCAACAGTCCTCAGTAACAGTGGTTGTCTTGGTGTATCAGGGCTACAGCTACAGCGACTCCATCAATGAAATAGGCTTCGTATCCTAAATCCCAAATCTTATGAGCCTCCATCTTGGAGGCCAAAGGTCAGAGGTCACAGTTAAATAATAATGCAGTGACTAAAAAATGATCCATGGTTGACAGATAAGAGAACGGAAATAAAGAAACTGATTAAAATAAATAAATAAAGGAAGATGACGTTCTGAAACCTGAATGTCAGTGAAGTTGATATCAGTTTATCTGACTGTCACCACAAGATGTGGTGTCGACTGTCAAAGTCACTCTGATAGATAGTGTTACTCATCTTCTGCTGTGGAAGCTGGGAGAATTACTCATATACGACCTGATAGAGTTTCATTATTGTGCTCAGAGGTATATGTGTGATATTAAGACGAGCATGAAGCTTGTGCACACATCAGTTAATATGTTTTGTCTCAGGGCTTCTGGACTCTGGTACAACCAGAAATCAGATGATGTTTTATAAATCATCAAGCAAAGATGATATACTGTACATAATGATGTTTGATGTCTTTGCATTTTCTTTGGTTTGTTGGGGTGTCATTATTTTATTTCTTGTCTTTGTTTCTTCCATCTTTTTAACTGAGTTTAAATTAATTAATTAATTAAATTGAATTAAATTAATTAATTAATCACCAAAACTATGAGGTAAAGAGGCTAAAAAGCTCAGTGAAGCTGCAGATTCTCAGTGAGTGCATCACTACAACTGAGTCATTTTCAATCACAGTCTCACGTGACCTGTTTCTAATATGAAGACATTGATTAATGCAGCTTTAAAGACAAGGAACTACTAGTGGAGTTATTATGAAATCGTCTTAATCTATGTAAAATATTAGTGATCAGTTATCATTCTTAATTACTAAAACAGCTTTTAACCCCCTGAAACTTATTTTGTATCTTAATTAGATAAACTTGAAGTTGCTGTCATGAAAATGGTTCTATATGTGGGTTCATGTTTCCTATATGCAAAGCAAGTGCTACCAGATAATGTTGCTTGCTTCTTATGAATATGGCTTTAAGTGATTTGTGCTGAATAAACAGATATAAACTGTCTGTGTCAGTGGTCTCTTTTTAATAATAACTTAACAGTGTCTAATAAATCAGTGTGTAACAATTTACTTTGAAGTTTTAATCATCTTTAGGTATATTGTTTTAGAGAAAGGGAAATGAACTGCTAAACAAGCAAATTTTCAGAAACACATTTGTGTGGACTTAACTTCAAAATTTTGTGAAATTCTAAAAAGTAGCTAGTAACTACTGCTACCAAATAAATGTACACTGCTCCAAAAAATGAAGGGAACACTAAATCATCACAGTATAATGCCAAGTCAGTTCAACTTCAGGGATATCAATCTGTCCATTTAGGAAGCACAAGTGATTGTAAATCAGTTTCACCTGCTTTGGTGCAAATGAAAGTGACAACAAGTACAATGAAGAGGCAAAAGCAAGACAACCCCCAAAAAGGAAAGGGTTTTGCATGTGGTGGCAAAAGACATTCTCTTCTTATCCTTATTGACCGATTCTTCCCTAGTTTTGTGTTTTGTTGGTGTCCTTGTCACTACTGGTAGCATGAGGCGGGACCTGCAGCCTGATCAGGTTGCACAGGTAGTCCAGCTCCTCCATGATGGCACATCCATATGTATGGTGACAAGAAGGTTTGCTGTGTCTCCCAGCACAGTCTCAAGAGCATGGAGAAGATACCAGGAGACTCCACGAGGAGAGCTGGACAGGGCCGTAGAAGGGCATCAACCCAGCAGCAGGACTGGTACCTGCTCCTTTGTGTGAGGAGGAACAGGAGGAGCACTGCCAGAGCCCTACACATGGCCTCCAGCAGGCTACTGGTGTACATGTTTCTGACCAAACTGTCAGAATCAGACTCCATGAGGGTGGCATGAGGGTCTGACATCCTATAGTGGTAGCTGTGCTCACAGCCCAGCACCAAGCAGCTAGATTTGAATTCACCAGAGAACACCAGAATTGGCAGGTCCGCCATTGGTGCCTCGTTCTCGTCACAGATGAGAGCAGGTTCACACTGAGCACATGTGACAGGCGTGAAAGAGTCTGGACACACCGTGGTCAATGTTATGCTGCCTGTAACATCATCCAGCATGACCGGTTTGGTGGTGGGTCAGTGATGGTCTGGGGAGGCAGATCCTTGGAGGGTCGCACAGACCTCTATGTCATAGCCAATGATACCCTGACTGCTGTTGGGTACTGGGAAGAAATCCTTGATTGTCAGAGCTTACACTGGTGCAGTGGGCCCTGGAATCCTCCTGGTGCAGGACAACGCCAGGCCTCATGTGGCCAAAGTGTATAGACAGTTCCTGGATGATGAAGGCACTGATGCCATTGACTGACCCACATGTTCCCCTGAACTAAATCCAATTGAGCACCTATAGGACGTTATATATCGGTGCAATCTGGCGCTGCCAAGTACCGCCACATACTGTCCAGGAGCTCACTGATGCCTTGATCCAGGTCTGGGAGGAGATCCAAGGGACACCATTCGTCGACTCATCAGGAGCATGCCCAGACATTGTAGGGAGTGAATACAGGCACGCGCGGGCCATACACACTACTGAGTCACATTATGACTTGCTGTGATGAAATTAACGCGAGTTTGACCAGTCTGTGATTTCTATTTTTTTCTTTGATTTTCAGTGTGATTGCGAATCCAGCCATCAATGGCTTGATGATTTTGGTTTCCATTGACACATCATTACATCATTTTGTTCTCAACAAATTATACAGTGATGAAGTGAAGATTTTTCAACTTGAATAATTCTTTCATCAAGATCCAATGTGTGATTTAAGTGTTCCTTTAGGTTTTTTGAGCAGTGTAAGTAAAAAGTATAATATTTTGCCCTGCAAAGTAGTGTAGAAGAAGTATATAGTAGCATTAAATGGGAGTCCCTCAAAATTGTACTACAATAATAGAGTGTAAGTTACTATTTAGCACTGTTTTGTTGAAGTAACAGTTGGTATTTTAATTTGGACTAAATGTGTATGTTAGTATACTAGTTTGAAGTTTTTACTATTTTATTCTGAAGGTGAGTTTGCCACATTTCCGGTATTCCGGTCTATCATAGCAAAGCACACCACAACGACGCCTTCACATGACGACATAACTCCGCGACAAGCTAATTGGCTAGCAGGCGGCTACGACCACTCGAAGCAGCGGAGCTAACGTCAACTCTCCGTTACCGGGATAATCCACACCGGAAAGACAGCTGGTAGGAAAAACGTTACCGTGTTTTGCCGTTAGATCTGGCAGCCTGACAGTTTATTGTAGATGGCAACATCGTTGCAGTCAACGGAAAGTGATATTGGAGCTAGCTAGCCGTTAGCATCATGCCGCTGTGGCTGGCAGAACACGTCACGCCAAGCTCCTTTCAAAACTCTGGATATAGAACACGGTTTTGATTCTGAGTAGAGCCATGCGTCCATTAGAACACAAGTCACAACGTACAATAAACTGTTATGAACCAATCTTTAATTCGGCATAAGTTGTATGGACCAAGTAACATTTATATTTATTCAATAGCAGCTTTTAGCTGGGGGGTTGCCCGTTGTTAAAAGAGCTACATTAGTGACCGTTGGTCGTGACTGGCTTAAATAAGAAAGTGTTCCCACCCTATGAGTCAACTATCTGCCGAATTTCCTTACAAGATATGAGCGTGTCGCGATTTCTACTAAATGTCTTTGTGACACCCACTTCCCGTGGCTGATATGCGAGGAATCGTTTAACTGTCAGGATTTTGGCTGGAGTTTCGTAAAACTTTATTTTCCAAGTGACGGTATACAAACGTAATTGGAGCGTGAGCTGTGCATTTGCTGTTTTGTTGGCATGCTAGCAGGCTAAGCTAAAAATGAACCTTTGTTCATTTAAAATGCGTAAGAGTTCAAGTAACCTCTTCACAGTGAGCAGCTGCAGTTTCAAATGTCATCTCGGACCCACAGTTAGTTAGTTGTCCGCTTGTTATCAGCAAGTCGGCAGTTAAGTTTCACCGTGATTCATGATCAAACACAGCGACTGCTAGCTGGCTGCTTTTAGCCTTGCTTAGGCAGTTACAGTGAGTCTGAGCTGGCAGAATATTCTCCAGGCTAATGCTAACGGGAGCCAGTTAAACTGACAGAAACAGCAGTGAGATTCAGTCTGAAATGACATCAGTCCCATGAACCGTGAGTCAGTCGTAATAACAGCAAACAACAATAACAACCATGTAAAACTAGAATTTATAGTTTGTATCTATTTTATTTTTTTTTTTTCAGATCCTTTGTACACATAAACATTTGGACAATAAAGCTTATTCTGATTCTGACATGAGTAATAATGTGTTTGTCAGACATCGATCACGGTATATACTAGCTAAATAACAACCAGTTCTTCCTCTTGTTGCTGTTCTTTGCAGGGTCTCCCTCCCTCAGTGAACACAGAGAGGTCTGAGCCTCCGTCACCATGACAGACAACAAGCGTCTCGCCTTCTCCATCATCCAGTTCCTTCACGATCAGCTCCAGTCAGGGAATCTGTCCTCAGGCGCCCAGGAGAGTCTGGAGGGTGAGTCAGAGCTGATGTGGGGATACATGACCAAAACAGCCAGTCCTGTGATCCGGTTTGAGTTGCTGGAACGGTTCTATCCTGTGACAGGAACTGAACATAATGTTGTTGGTTCTCCTTTAGGGACAAGCTCCTGGAGCTAAGTTAGGGTTCTGCTTGGGGGTGAAACTAAACCCAGGTTTAAGCTACTTTCAGCAGTTTGGCAGCAGCACAGCGAATGTGCACACATAGACTTCTAAAAAAACAATAACAGTAACAACCGTTTAACACATGCATCTGTGTAGCATAGGATAACCAGTGCTTGAATGCAGGGAAGTTGAGCTGTTAGTGCTGTTGCCTTGTTTATGATGTATGTCTGAAACATGAACATGCTGAAACTGATATGGTTCTTTTTTTGTCATTAAAGTTTTTTATTTATTCATACACACATAAACATACAATCAAACTCGAAAACAAACACTGACACCAACATCAACAGACAGTATATCCAGCATACAACCATATATACAAAGGCCTCCTGCAAATCAACATTTCCTTTTTTGAAACAACCACAATATACATTCAGCACGATGTCTTCAAATTTTTCCATATGTCCTACCTACAAAAAAATACTTTCCCAGGCCCTCCTAAAATGTTCCTCTTCGTTGTTAATTCTAGCTGAAACTGATATGGTTCTTAACAGTTAAGGTTACAGGTCGTTAACTTCCTGCAGTGAAATCCACATGGACACCGGACTTCAGCCTTGCTCATCTTTTCTTATATTTGTCCCCATAAATGTAAAGGCTCCTAGAGGACAAGTCAGTGTTGTTTTATCAGATCTTCACATTACTGAGTTATGACAAAGGTTTTAAAGGAGTCACTTATAAGTTTTTGCTATTTCTACATAGCTAACGTTAGCATCAGCAGCTGTTTACTTACCAGTCTAGAGGAAACATTGTGAGTTCAGCATCAATCTTCATTCCTGTACTCACCAACAGCTGTCTCTAGAGGTGGAAACAAACACCAATGTTAACTCTTGTCTCTATCACAGCTTTTCTTCTACTGAAGTTAGCATGCTAACCAGCTAGCCCCAGTCTTTCTCATCGCTGCAACCTCCAGTCTGTCCTGAAGACGTAGCTGCTCAGAGAACGTATTATAACCTCTTGTCTTATAAAGACAATGATGACTGAAGCTCTTGTCAGGAGGCAATCACCACCATCTGCTGCTGACAAGAAAATATATAGATAGCTGCTTTAAATCAAGATGTTAATGGTTAAAAATGTAATGATTCTGTGATGATTTTTTTGTCTTCAAAAATTACAGGATTGTGGTTGACTACTGCACAAACCTGACCTGATGTTTAGAAAATAAATGTCTTTTTATTTTATACTGAGCTGTGATATTGTTTGTGATCCTGCTGCCACCCTTAGTTTTAACAAAAAGTTATTTTTCAAACAAAATGTAAATAAGATGTATGATTCTAGAATGCAGACACCACTTAAGAATACTCAAGTGTTTGGTATTTTTACATTGATTTTACAGATGAATCAGTTCTTCTTGATTATCTTACTTTGTGTGTTACCTCCCTGTTAAAATGACCTTATTCTGCAGTGGCTGTTCAGTGTTTGGAGACGGCGTTCGAGGTGTCGACCGATGACCAGAGCCTCGCCGTCCCCATGACGTTACCAGAAATCTTTGCCTCAGCCACAGCCAAGGTAGAGAAACAGCCTGTTGTCAGGTCCTGCATGTTGGTGATACAGATGTTATATGAACAGCTGAGCCGACTCTGACGTGTGAAATAGGTGGAGTTCGCCTGTAACAGAAGAATGAGGACTGTTCTAGTGTGTTGTGAAATGATGTCATCATCTGATGCAGTGGTGCTGTTGTTGCTCATTCTCCTGGATGTGTCTGACTCAGTATTTGTGTCTATCCCAGCATCCAGCTCAGTCACAGGTCAACAACAACTCCACCCCAAACTCCGTCAGTGAGGAACAGAGAGCCGAGGCCGAGAGGCTGAAAACCGATGGTAAGACGAGGAGGAAGAGGAGGTCCACAGTGTCCACACAGCTGATTGGTGGTTTCTTCTCTCCATTTTATTTTCCAGTAACGAGTTCATGTGTTTTGTTTCGTCTGGACTTCAGGTAATGACCAAATGAAGGTGGAGAACTTTGGAGCTGCTGTTGAGTTTTACTCAAAGGCCATCGCCCTCAACCCTCAGAACGCCGTCTACTACTGCAACAGGTCAGTGTGGTGACGGGCTTCACAAAGGCATGATGAAGATCAGATCTTAAACAGTTTCAGATGCTTAAAACTTCAGCAGTAAAATATCAGAAATGAACAAATTTCTCCATATTGTTTTGTTGATTCAGTCACATTCAAATTGTAAAATATCCTGATGGATTTAAACAGATCACATGTTCATATCAGCTGGAAATGAGCTCTACTTTCTGTCTCTGAGGAGACGTTATGGTTCCTGGGTTGCCCACAGTTGAATTATGTATAGGGCTGCAACTAACAATTATTTATATTATCCATTTTATTATTTTCTGAATTGTTTTGTCTATAAAATGTCAGACAATACTGAGAAAAGCCACTCATCATTTCCCACAGATGAAACTTTAAATGTCTTTTTTGTCAGAGATTCAATTCAGTGAAAGAGAAAACTAAACATCAGAGACACTGGATAAACTGGGACCAACATAAAACAGTTTATCTATTATCAAAATAGTTGACCATTAAGTTGAGGTGTTGTTTTTTCCTGTGCAGGGCTGCAGCATACAGTAAACTGGGGAACTATGCTGGAGCAGTGCAGGACTGTGAACAGGCCATCAGCATCGACCCAAACTACAGCAAAGCCTACGGAAGGATGGGGTAAGAAAAGCTGCTTGTCTCCAAGAACACACTGCCTGTGTTGCGTGTGTGTGGTGGCTGCGTCATTGAGCTGCTGCAGCTCTCTCTCTACATAGAGTTTGCAGGTTACTGAATGATGGATTTTTTTTTTCGTTCTAAGTTCATTTCTGATTTATTTTTGACAGAAAACATCGCTAAAATGTCACTGTCTCCACATGCGACTGCTACAATGGTTAGAAAATATATTTATATTTTTCATGTCTGTATCATATTCAGATTCGGTCTAGACAGAGAAATTATAGTGGAAGGTGTCACTTTTATGTGATGTTGTTGCAGTGATGTCACTATGACATCAACTGGTCTTTTCTCTTTCTGTTTTTACTGGGAGACACGTCATGTGAAAAATAGGCGAGAGGCTAAATCTTGCCGAATTGAAAACCTACACATTCCGTAGCTGCCGCACATCCAGTGTGTTTCTGTCCGTAGTCTGTAAATGAGTAGAGAGAGAGAGAGAGAGAGAGAGAGAGAGAGAGAGAGCGAGAGAGAGAGAGAGAGAGAGAGAGAGATTCAGCAGAGCAGAAACCTGCAAGAAAACTCAGGGATTCAATCTTTTCTCCAGAAAAGCTTTTTTTTTCTGGTTTCATATTTATTTCTTACTCGACACATCCAGGCCACTGTACCTCAACCTTTTGGTAGCTGTCAGTGTTTAACGATATAAAACTGTCGAACATCTACAAACCAAACTCTGAGCATTAGATTATGAAAAATGAAACTTGGTTTGAAGAAACAGCACGGAGGTGTTTTCAACTACTGATTCATTGATTTGAATACTTGTTTGATTATTTATTTGATACTGTCGCAGTCCTTGTCACTGATACGTTTCCTGTTGTTGTGTTGTTGTGTTTCAGTTTGGCTCTGGCCAGCCTGAACAAACACACAGAAGCAGCGAGTTACTATAAAAAAGCTCTGGAGCTCGACCCCGACAATGACACCTACAAAACCAACCTGAAGATTGCCGAGGAGAAGATGGAGACCTCCAGTCCAGTAAGAACAGACCACATACGCTTTTCTGAGCAGAGACTCTGAGCTGGGTTTGTGTTCATTCTTCCTCTTGTCTCCTCTCTCAGACGGCAGGGATGGGCGGAGTCGACCTGGCCGGTTTGCTCAGTAACCCCGGCTTCATGAACATGGTGAGACCTCAGACTCTGTTTCAGCTCATTTCTCTCTGCTACAGATAGAACACATTCACACTGACTATCTTCATCAACCCAAACATCTATCACTGTCACTGAACATGTGGTGTTACCAGAGAGCACAGCACATAAACCAAGCAGTGGATCATTGTCAGACTGCAGCTCTAGATCTTCTTTATGTATTTTTTTTCTTTCAGTTGTTACAGTTAAAGTGGCTATAATAAATATTTTAATAATACTACTGTATGAAATGTGTCAGTGTGGAAGGTGTGATGGTGATGAACCTACAGTCCTACACATGTGTGAGATCCAGGTTATTATCTGAATCTGCACTGACTTGTACAAACTCATAGATCAACACCATGAATATTTTGCATTAAGATCCAATCATTTCATTTCTGAGAAATTGATGAAAATGTAAAAAATATCCCGACTGACAATGTTAAGGAAAGTGATTAAAAATTCCCATCCCTCCATCAAGTCTGGTGCAAATCAGTTCAGTCGTTTTTGTGTAGTCCTGCAGACAGACAAAGAGATGAGTAAATTCATAACCTCCTTGGCAGAGGCATCATCATCTGAACTTGCAGCTCCTCTCAGCTTCACTGAGCTTTACAGTGAGTTTCAGCTCAGTGCTCACTTGTTGTGAATCTTGATTTGTGTCTCTGTCTCTGCAGGCGTCGTCTCTGATGAACAACCCTCAGGTTCAGCAGCTGTAAGTCGACTTTATTCGCTCCTTCAGTCATTGTTTTCTTTTCTGGTTTCTTAAAGTTGACTTCCTGTCCACTTGTTCTCTTCCAGGATGTCAGGGATGATGTCCGGAGCATACGGTGGGATGGGGGGAGGTGGAGGAGTGGGAGGAGGATTGGGTGCAGGATTGGGTGCAGGTGCAGGTGCAGGTGCAGGTGCAGGTGCAGGTGAAGGTGCAGGTGCAGGTGCAGGTGCAGCCCCCAGGGCTGCAGCCCCCGGAGCTGCTGGAGCAGGAGATTTATCGGGACTGATCCAGGCGTACGTATTGAATAAAAGTGTAATGGTGATCAGAATAGACGTGTTTCCCAGCAGGCATGTGGAGCTGGGAGACGGTGTTGTTTTGTCGGTCGATGTTTACAGGTGTTGTTGCTGTTTGTGTTGCAGAGGTCAGCAGTTCGCTCAGCAGATGCAGCAGCAGAACCCCGAACTTATCGAACAGCTGAGGAGTCAAATCCGCAACCGAACGCCCAGCGCTGGAAACGAGGAGCAGCAGTGACATCAGATATGGTAAATACTCACTGAAGACTGTGGGTCCCAACACGGTAAAGTCACTGTTCTCAGGTCAGTTTGTCCAGGTGGGAAGTCTGACATTCACTTGGCGACAGATCAGAGACGCCTGATCCCTGTCTTAACCTCCCACATAGAACATTTAGTTTGCAGCCGTAAAAGAAAAAAAAAAGAAAGAAAAAGAATATATAATTTATACAGTAACAATAGAAACGATAAGAAACAGTTAATTAAAACATATCACAAAATGTTAAAACACCAATTAAAAACAAGTAAAAACTAAGACAATCGGCTAGGACTGCGCATTTATTGTGAAATTAAAGGTCTCATACAGTCTAAAGGTAGATGCTCATTTGGTGTTTGATCATAAAGCAGGTCTAGGTTCTATATTAATACTGTGAAAGTATCAAAGCCTCAGTCCACAGAGAAATGCACACAGCCTGTATTCAGACACTGAGCCTTAAAACCAGCTGTCAGGACTTTGTGATGTCACAACAAAGCAGTCACCAAGCCCCACCAACTTTGTAGGATTTGGTTTCTCTGAGTGTTTATCTGAAATATGCTATATTTTTATCAGATCACTCAGAAAACAGTGAGCCATTCAGAAGAGAGGCTGAGAGCCTCCTCTCTTCACTACAGATACAAATACAAATATAATTATTTTACTGTTTTTAATTTAGAACAATTTGTGTTTAACAACATTAAACATTTCATTTCTACAACTTCCTTTTTTTTTTCTTTTTTTTCTTTTTTTTTAAATTGTGAATTTCTGTTAGAGAGCAGAAACTGTTGGCGACTTAGTTGTTGTACTGATGGATCACTGCTGTGGAAATGAACATTATACAATATTTATCAAGACAACAGGTAAACATGGAGGAAGTGTGGAGATTTTCTTGTAAACAGGAGGTCAGGAAATGGGAAGGACTCAAATAAAAGACAAAGTAGTCGAAATAAAGTCTCTACAATAAAGCTGTTGCCTGGTGGTGGCCAGATATTCTTCAGCCTCACAGGTTATAAACAGACTTTGACATCAGCACATTTTGATGCAGTCTGTTCCTTTTTATTTTGACTTTTCTCCTCCGTCGTCTTGTTTCCGGTTTTATTTTAGCAGTGGTTGATCTTTTGTGTTTCCTCTGTGTTTCAGGTTGTACAGGTGTGTGTGTGTGGAGGAGACGAACAGACCGTCTGCCCTTTTTTTCTTTCTGATTTGGATCATTATAACTCGAAGGACTAAAAGGAAGTTTTTTGTTTTTTCCATCACTGAATAATTCCTGCATGAGAGAGAGATTCAGGAGCCACGCCACCAAAAACTACACCCACTTTCTGCAGCGCTGTGTAGTTTTTAGGAAGAACACTTTGATATCAAACACAGATTAATTCTAATAAGTCGTGCTCTGATAGCATCATGGTCCCAGATGTTAAACAGCTGTAGTGAAGCAGGTTAAAACAGCTTGAAATGTCTTTTTTTTTCTCTAAAAACTACACAGTGTAACTTTAAATACAACGTTTGGTCCAGTACCTTCTCGTGTGTGTGTGTGTGTGTGTGTGTGTGTGTGTGTGTGTGTGTGTGTGTGTGTGTGTGTGTGTGTGTGTGTGTGTGTGTGTGTGTGTGTGTGTGTGAGAGAGAGAGAACTAATCCTGTGTGTGGCAGGTGACATGGAGCTATGCGGAGACAGAGCTGTTTAAACACAGTTTGGAAATTAAAAAGAGCATCTCAACATTTTACACTTCCTGTCTGATGACTTTTCACTCCTGTCAATCAAATGTGTCGTGGTTTATCTTCCTGGGCGGCAGCTTTAAATTCACAGAGGGAAGAAAACAGATGAACTATTTCAATTAAATATAAACACATATATGATAATGATGATGGCATGTTAGAAATGTTTGCAAATGTATTAAAAAGTGAAATCTCACAGACATAAGTATTCAGACACTTTACTGTGACTCAGGTTCCTCCATTTCTCTGGATCATCTCTGAGATGTTTCTATACCCTGACTGGAGTCCACCTGTGGTAAAGTCAGCTGATTGGACACACACCTGTCTATATAAGGTCTCACAGCTGACAACACAGATCACACCGTGAGGAGGAAGGAGCTGCTGCAGAACTCAGAGACAGGATTGTGTCGAGGCTCAAAAACATTTCTGCTCCATTGAAGTATCCCAAGAAGTCTAAACATGAGCAGGACTCTTCTAGAGCTGGACCTGGACTAACTTAGACATCAGGGTGAAGAGAGGAGACCAAGAACCTGATGGTCTCTCTAAGTTTCAGAGAACCTGCGTGGAGATGGTAGAAACTTCCAGGAAAATCAGTTGTAAACATCATGTCCAGCTTCCTCCAAGCAACATATGTAAACATAAAGAATTTGAATAAATAAAATCACTATGTAATATTTAAAAACCTGTTGCTTTATTTTATAATTAATGAACAAAGAAATTAGACAGCGAGTTAAACTATGGAGAAAAGAGATGAGGGTTGGGAACTTAAAACCTTATGTAAATGAATAAAACATTTCCCAATAACAATCTAGAGATTTGTTATTCGTGTTATAGTAATACATCAGATTAAAATGGTTAGTACTGTTGGTGGTTCTGAAAAAGAGAATTTAAATCAAGACGATATCAGTTTTTGTTACATTGAAAGAATAAATGAATACACGTGATCTACATCCACATTCCTGGAGAAATAAATGAAATAAGCTTATTTTGCTTTATTAGGAAAATAAAGCTACTTGGGCTAATTTTGTTTCCACTTTTCTACTACTGAAAAGTACTTAAAGTACTTGAATATTTTATTTTGACAATACAGATTTTGCAGAGAGAACAGGAAAATATTAAACTGATTCAGACCTTACAAAAATGTAAATAAAAGGGTGGTGCTCAGGGTGTAGCTGATACATTCACAGGGATCATAGTGAGTTTTCTCTAAAAAAAAATTTAACTCTGCTTTTTTTCTGTATTATCCAGATAATTATTTTAGACTTCTGGGGAACGTCTTTAAAGAATCATCTATTTTCCTGAATGAACGAGATCTCCGACTTTCCGACTCGGAAATCCGACCTCGGGGGTCGTTCCAATTGAAAGTTCCGACTCGGAGCTCGGAAATCCCGACTTTCGAGTACAAATGGAACGCCACAACCCCCGAGTTGACATTAAAAGATGGCCGCGCCGGTTGTAAACAGTAAGTAGAAGCTCCTGTAAAAATCATTTTATTAACACTTTTTACTATTTGTTGTCACAGTAAGTCAGCCGTATACATAGTATTGTTAGATGTATATATATGGAAATGCTGTCATAGTGTAATTTACATTTTTCATGTGTATATGCGAACTACAAAGCAGGCCGTGCTAACAACGGCTAACCGTAGCCTGGTAGTTTCAGCCGGTGCTTTTTGGGCGTTTTGGGCCGTTGGCTATTTTTTTTCGACTTTATAACTTTGTAACGCTGATACCTACGGTGTGACGTCATTCCCACCACCGACTTCCGACTTCCGAGGTAAATGGACCGCACCATAACAACTAACCATCGTCATCAGGAAACCCACCACTCAGTGCGCAGGGAGTGCGTGATGTCACCGCGGAAGTATCTTCATACACCTGCAGAGGCTCGGGCAGAAGCTCGGACAGGTAAACACCTCTTAATAGACTCATGTTTGTGGTTTAATGTTGTTATGTTGAGCTGAGCCGTTGAGTTGTTTATCCTGAACAACACAAATGTGGACAGCTGCTTTTCTTTGTGACTGGAGCGTTTAGGTGTTAGCGTCACATTTAGCTGCAGGGAAGCTAAGAACCTTTAGCAGTCAAGTTAGTCGCTGTTAGCCGGGACCAGGAGCGGAAATGGGGGGAATTTTATTTTCAACGTGAACTATTAAAGTGTTTTTTAATCAAAAATGAAAAGGTGAAGATACACTTGCTAAAGAAATGTATCTTAAAAAGCGAAGAAATGTTGCAAAAAGGAAGTCAAAAAGTTTATATGTAAATAATTATGAAGCGTGATAATGTTTTATTTTGAAGTGGTCGATGTTTCCTGTAGCGGTGACGTGAACTTAACGTTAAAAACGGACCATAACAGTCAAACAAACAACGGGGTTGTAGCTTTATCTCGGTAACAACGAAGTTTTAAAGTGTTTAACGTTACAACCGGTTCAAACCGTGAGAGTCGAGCGTTTTATTTAACGATATTTATCATTTAGTTATTTAATGTGTCAAACACTATCTACCTGCATTTACGTGCAGCTCTACTTTAGTTTTTCTTTTCATGCCACATTTCAGAGTAAAAGTAGTTCGTACTTTTCACTATATTTATGTGACGTGTTTAGCTACTTGTTACTTGTATAAAGAAAATCACTGTCACAGATGTGTGTGTCTGACTGGGTCTGATTTTATGACTCTTTACTTGCTGCATTATACGTCTTATCTTCTACCATTGTCCCAGACAGTGATGTTCACTTGTGGCTGCTGCTGTATCCTGTGCCCAGACACCCCCATATTTGTGCACATGCCTGAAATTAATACACCAAAGACCAAAACACACTTCATGTAGCACCACTGACACCACAGCATCCCACTGGTGGCGTAGTGTATTTCAAAATGGTTAAATAAAGAATTGTTCCTGAATGAAGTGTAAAGTCAGAAAAGTTACCTCAATTAGACCAGGAAATCAGACCTTCAATACTTTTAAACAGTTAATGCTACAGATACATTTTACAGTGTCTAGACTGACACTGTAAACTTTGTCAAAAACACTGACTGTGTTTTTGACTGTGACTGACTGTGTTTTTGAATCACTATGACGGACCCTGATTCTTTTCTCACTGGTATTGGATTTCATTTCCTCACAGTGTCACAGTACAGTCCTCTGGTGGAGAATCAAGGTGGACTGGTTTAGTCTGCTTTGGTCTTCACTTTCCTGCTCTGTAAAACAGTCTCTGTCTATGTGTGTGTCTCCTGCAGTAGAAGCAATAGAGTCCAGTGGACGCACCAGAGTGGAGGTGTGTGCGTGAGGATGCTGTCTTCACTTTAGCGTCTGCGGAGAGTTTGCTGCTTCAGGATGAGGATCCTGGTGGCGAAGCTGCTCGGCCTGCTGGGATTGTTTGGCCTCATGCTGGCTGGCATCCTGGTCCCAGTACGCCTCCTGCTGGTGGACTATGACAAGGCACACAGGTATAGGAGAGCTCTGTCTCTCTGCAACTCGTTCGGAGGAGGCGTTTTCCTCGCAACATGCTTCAATGCTCTGCTGCCCGCCGTCAGAGACAAGGTAACACACACTCACTGCAGCCGGACATTAATATCTCACCATGTTTATCATGTCGTAATGTCGTACACATAGAGAGATGTTGTGAGATGTTCTGACTGTTTAAAATTGTGGAAAACTTCACACTTTTGTGCTTCTATTGGATGTTTTTAATGAAAGAAAATCCAAAACCAACCAACAGGAAATAACATTGAACAGGGGAAATGTTATCTTACAGTATTTTACTGTTAAAAATGGGTTGACTTTATTTATTTGTATAACATGTCTTTTAAGCTATTGACACGTTTGGTGACTGTCCTGTACAATACTGTAAAAAACCAAACATACATGTATTAGGAGGTACCAGTAAAGTATCGGTGTGTATCAAGTATCAACCTCTGAGGCTGAAACATGAAGCCAGCACTGAAGAACCAAAACCTGTAGTTCCTCTAATGACCACTAGAGTCTGGCTCCAACAGTGAGTCAGTCTCCATAGACTCCCATGTTAAAATGTCCAACTTTACAGCAGAAATAAGCATGTTTACAGCCTGGTACAAAAACAGTTTTGGTCTCTAGAGCTAATTTCCTCCTTCATGACGACTGTTTATATATATCTTACCTGTTTTTTATTAATTTTATTAAGGCTTTAAGTCATGGAGAATTGAGGGCGTGGCCTCTTTGAGTGACAGGGGGGTGAGCGTATGTTTGTCACAAACCATCATGTATCAAGTCTCAGCTCCACACACGCCCCTCCTCTTTGACCATTTTTGGATTAGCTGGGAGTAGGGGGCGGAGTTAGTTAGATGACAACGGTGTGGCAGCTCACTCTGAGCTTCAGAAACCTGTTGTCACAGGGACAGAAACGTCCCACTTTATTTACCATTCACAGTCTGTGCTCTGAACATAAAGACATTTAAAGATGTCACCCTGGGAACCTGGTATAAATTTTAATAATGATCAGATTAATGATGAGAATAATAATGAGTTGTGGCTTATCCTGTGTGTCTGTGTGTCCTGTCCTCAGGTGGGCGATGTCTTCAAGCAGCTGCAGATCAGCAGTGATTATCCTCTGGCTGAGACGATGATGATGCTCGGGTTCTTCCTCACTGTGTTCGTGGAGCAGACCGTCCTCACCTTCAGGAAGGAGAAACCCTCCTTCATCAACCTTGAGACCTTCAATGCCGGCGGGTCTGAGGCTGGCAGCGACTCAGAGTACGACACACCCTTCATCTCCTCAGCGCGGGGCTCGCCGGGCAGCGGCAGCGGTCACTGCACCCATGGACACCAGCACGGACATTTCAGCCCAGCTGAGCTGGCGGGGGCGGGGCCTCTGCGGCTGGCCAGCCTGGTCCTGGCTCTGTCAGCTCACTCGGTGTTTGAGGGCCTGGCGCTCGGTCTGCAGGAGGACGGAGCCAAGCTGGGCGGCCTCTTCCTGGGCGTGGCCGTGCATGAGACCCTGGCTGCTGTTGCCCTCGGGGTGAGCGTGGCCAAAGCCTCGCTTGGCATGAAGGACGCCGTCAAGCTGGGCGTCACGGTCAGCATGATGATCCCGCTGGGCATGGTGGTGGGAATGGGCATTGAGTCGGCTCAGACTCTGGCGGGCAGCGTGGTGTCGGTGGTGCTGCAGGGACTCGCTGC